GTAGTGTATATATTTATTTATTTATTTATTTATTTATTTATTTATTTATAACTACTATATTAATCAAATCAATGTCTATAAATATTACTAATAATTTTGCTAGAAACATTTGTAATAATTTTGACAGTTGTGTTTTGTTATTTAATTGCGAGCTACAGTTTTATCATTTGCCACTTTAATACTGACACATTGGCTGTCAATGTTTTTAATTCATCTGCTGGAAAGAAAAAAAGGTAATGCTATTATTTAAACAGTTACAAATTCTCTTACAGAGGAATCATGCATGCATCACATGAGCTTAAATTTTTGAACACATTGTGTGGGGAGGGTGGTCACATGATCATGTTTTTCACATGAAAATGTTATTCCTCATTTTTTAATGACTCCATACACTTGAGTTCATTTGAATTGCTCTGTGATGTGACAAAATATTTTCTAAAAGCTGCCTTTTATTTAACTATGAGGTCACATAATGTAAAAAACTGCAAATGATTCGAAACAAAGTGTCCTGAAGTGTGACTGTGACATACTATACTTCAGTTATCTCTAGTGCTATATACTTCTTGCTTGTTAGGCACTTAAAATGAATGCCCATGAGATCTGCTGCTTTGCAGTGAGACTGTAGAATTGTCAATTCTAAGGTTTGATGTGTCACTGTACTCCCAAACTATGCGACCCCCATCTGTTTCTCTCACATACAATATCCAAAGCCAGACAAAAGCCCCATTCATCTCTGCGCTCTTGCTCTGCCAGCTGATACTGAATAATGAACCTCAAGGGGAATCTGGGGATCACGAGGCTTAGGCTGCATGGTCTCAACTCATATTTCCCCCAGTTATTTTTATAAGAATAGTCAAAGAACGAGCCATATGCTAAAAAATTCTATATGTTTACACTACCTTAAAGGGGAAAAGGCAAACAGGAGAAAAGTTATAGCACTGTGGTGTGAATTATGGGGCCAGTTAGTTGATGCATGTCAGCCATCACAGACTTGTTCTGTCTTGTTCAAACAACCCATTGCCATCTGGATGTGGTGAACTATACTAACCAGTCAAGTTAGGGAGAGTCCCAACACACCGATGGCCTTGATTAATTACATGTTGGGTGAAACAGCTGGAACCCTGACTCTAAAAGTAAATGGTCACTTAAATGGTTTTTGATGACTGCAAGAGAAAAAGTCTGTTCTGGCCACAAGCCTTAAAGGGATAGTTCACCCCCAAAAATGATACACTGTCTCTTCTCTGTATGCATCATGCACTTTATTAGCGCTCCGTGTTTCGGAAAACATCTTGTAATTCTTGGTGTGCTCTGCAGGTGAGTGGGCTTGACAAACCACCTGTAGGACACACTTTCTTCCAACTCAGGCTCTTTCTGATTATGTACCCCTATATACATTTCTGGAGAGAGCCAAATGCGTCACAGGAGCTACGCTTTTTTGCGGGGGGGGTTTTCACAAATCCACTGCTGTGTACACTTTTTCAGATCTCAAATTTCTCTCGCGAGTGCCATTCGAGCCTGCTGTTCTCACGTGAATCCACCAGAGGCCGCTGTTGACTTACTCACTGACTCACTCACTGACTGATCAACCAACCAACAAACCAATACCCTTACCCACACCCTTCTCTAAACCCAACCAATGGTGTTTTAAAAAGCACCGATTGACAAGCCCACCCCTTCCCTAAACCCAAGCGCAGCGTTTTAAAAAGCAATCCAGAAAAAAAAAGCCTTCGCCTGATGTTTACCACATTCTCCGATTTTTACCAGATTCTCACTTAGTTATTTACTTGTTTATATTATTTTTGTCTTACCTGCTTTCTGGAACTGTTCTTCCCCAGACTCGAACCTCATCGCCTTGATTAACTCTGCTCTGCGTCTCAAATTCGCCAACGTACATGTCGAGCTATCAGAAAGCTCGACAAAGAGCTTTGAAAAACTGCAGAGACAAACTGGTAACAGCTAATAAGCCAGAAAAGAAATGGTGTAAACCTGTACAGTCTGAAATAACATCAGATTCATTCATTCATTTTCTTTTTGGCTTAGTCTCTTTATTAATCCAGAGTCACCACAGCACCACAACATCAACCGCCAACTTATCCAGCACGTATTTACGCAGCAGATGCCCTTCCAGCTGCAACCCATCTCTGGGAAATAACATCAGATTGTCATTTCTTTTTTAGTATTACTTGCAAAAAAAAAGTGTTGGAAATACATTTTTCATTACACATTTAAGTGCTGCATTAGCTGAATTTAAATGTCAAAGGTCTATTCAGGAAAAGAAAAAAAGGTCTATTTATGCACTTTTTAAAATATTTCAAAAACTCAATTCTTTGCTGTAATGTAAAAAATGCAGGGTTCCACACAATTCCTCTATCTTGTCCCAATTAACACAAACTGATTACTTTAACTTCATTCTCATTTTCTTTCAGCTTAGTCCCTTTATTATTGGGTTGCCACAGCTGAATGAACCGCCAACTTATCTGCATATGTTTTACACAGCGGAAGCCCTTCCCGCTGCAACCCATCACTGGGAAACACCCATGCACACTCAATCACACACATACACTACGTCCAATTTAGCTTATGTAATTCACCTGTACCACATGTCTTTGGACTTGTGGGGGAAACCGGAGCACCTAAAGGAAACACACGCGAACATGGGGAGAACATGCAAACTCCACACAGACATGTCAACTGACCCAGCCGAGGCTCGGACCAGCAACCTTCTTGTTGAGAGGCAATCTTGCTACCCACTGGACCACCATGTCACCCCATTCAAGAGTTCACATGTAGCTGATGATTGAAAATAAAGCTTGTTTGGCGTGCTGTCCCAGGAGAGAGCCCTGAGCTTATAAAATCCTTGAGCTCTGGGCTCCCTCCCGTTGCAGGGCGAGAGAGGAGTTTGGGGGGGTTTCTTCAAGACGAAGATATTGAGATAAGAAAAATCTGGTTATTTATAGTGAGTTAATGATCGTCTGATATGATAATTAATCATTAGCTAAGGTTGGAACAGCTGTGAACAATCATAAGCACGTAATCCTCTCGAAATTTTGTTTATATATAAACTTAAGTTATGATAACCTCATTGTTTTTATAAATTTAAGTGGACTGAACATAAAACAATTAAGTTGTCCACAAAAATCTTTAGAATTGTGTTGTTATTATTTTATATTTTATATATACTTATTTTAAATGAGTACTTTAAATAAGCAGCAAAAGTTTTATTTTTCAGTTTAATTGCAAATTTGTCAACACATACAAAACTCAAATCACAAAAAGAAATTGCTTGAATTTATGATCTTGAGATGAAAAAATGTGTTTGAGCACATACATTTTTAATTAACACTTCAAGTATAACTGGATTATAATCAAAATATTATGGATACCATGTGGCATAAGGAACATTGTCTCATTGTATTTGGAACTGTGAACATAACAAAGCTTTGGGAAGGAATTAGTCAGTGATGTCTAAAACTATTGGTAAAGAAATCTCTACTGGTCATAAAATATGAATTTTTGGCCCTCATTCATATTCTTGAGGATTTATAACGGTTTGTAAACCTGTGTTTAATGCATGCACGTGTACAAAGTGAAGCCTTGCTATTTTAAAAAGAAAAGGGCTCGTCCTATTTGCTTGCCTCAAGCAGGACTGAAAAAAATCACTTTGTAGGCTAATCGCTAATCACTTTGTTTTTTCAGTTAAAATTGCTATTAAAGTTCACAAATACCTTCAATGAAAAGGAAAAAAAACAATCAGGATTAAACGTGGAATGTTGCGTTTTAAACAACTGGAAAGTAAACTTGACCACATTACTAAATAAATAGGGTCTATTTATTTTTACAGACATCTTTCTTTTGTAGAAAACAGAAGCTATGTTATATCCATTAGGGGGCAGTTATTTTGATTAGTTTAGCATGTGGCTACAGTGTGACTTGGCGTGTGATTGATGACATCTAGTGGCTGTTTTAAGTAATAACATAATTTCCTCGCATTTTGGTAGCACATTATTTGCTATAATTCGGGTAATTAGTTTAACAGATCTTCTGATTTATGTGTTACTGATCTTCAGCTCTTTAGCCTGTTAAAATATCCACTAATAAATTAGCAACTAAAAAAGTGCGAACATTATTTAATTCAAGATGGAATGTTGGTTTATTATTGTATAAAATATGCTAGATCAACTTGTTTATGAGGCATAAGGTGTACAAAATAATTCAAATCTGAGTGACGCATTGGTAATGATTTCCGAAAACGGTTCTTTTGTTAACTTGACAATGAAAGAAAAATCTTTCTGATGTAGGCAACCTATGTTTAACCGGTTAATGTTAAGTTAAAAATTTACTAAGACATCTGTTAATATTATGTAATAAACACAAGTTCTTAGCAAGTTAAAAATGTGAAATATAATAGCAAATTAATAATGTGTAATATACATAGTGAATAATAGCATCTAATATGTACAGGGCTCAGCATACACCCCTCACAAATCTCTCTTTTACATTCATATGTTTAATAGCAAGCTTTACAATATTATATTTGTGCATATACATTAGATTAGTCAGTACTGAAGCCAAATCTGGAGCTTAAGTAACAAAATAACTGATGACATTGGTCCAAAAGCTAGTACACTCATATTTAAAAAGAGGAAAAATCAAGAGAAACAAAAAAAAATTAGTTGAAGGCTGTAATTAGTTTTTGCAATATTTTGCTTAAATTTAATTGTATTATCTTTCAATTTCTAAATATGTTTGGTGAATAAAATATAATTTTAATAAATCTGTTTAATAAATCGGTTTTGTTTAAATGCACCAAAATACATTGCCTATATTCACTGAGAAATTGATACAAATATTAATTTTCAAAATGGGCTGTACTCAATTATGCTGATCACTGTACATATAAATTTATTTATTTGTATGGTTTGATGCATTAACTTGTGATTTAGAAGTTAATTTAGAAGTAAATTACAGCTTTGTAAAATAAAAAAGAAGCAAGAAGCTCATTAGTTATTTTATTATTATTATTTATTCATCATCATCATCATTTTCAAACATTTTGAGAGTACAAAATCAACACCCAGCTTGAATTTATTATTTTTTAATAAAGAAAACCAGCTTCAATATGAGGTACTAGTCAGACTCTTCTTGTAATATACAAGTATGGAGTATTTTTCACAAACAATCGTGTCAAATTCTGAGTCGCTATTAGTGTTTTGCATTCAGTGTGAAGAAACATGCATAATCCAAAAAAAAAAACAAACCTAGTAAAACTATTGTTAAAAAAAGCAAAAAGTAAGGCATCTAAACAAGTGATCATCTACTACATAGTGATGTAGGGCAGCTTTGGTGTCATCTGTGTTCGTGCCCTCATGCAAAACAGCATCATTTGCTTCCAAGCAGTGCTTTAAATGATAGCGCACGACCCGGTGGGACCCACTGTAACCCGATACGATGCACCCCACTGAATGGAAAGCACTCCAGCCTCCCAGGAGATCAAATGCAATGGAAACTATCAGGCCAGGAAGGGCAAGAGGAGGCCAAACAGGGGGGAGGGCAGGGCTGTATTCATTCACCAGGGCCTCCACATGGAAGGATCGACCCCGGGAAAGAAAGGGGGAAGGGAAGCCGGAGACTGAGGAGAAGGAGAGCTGGGTGGAGAAGACTGTTCACGGGGCCTGACCAGGGAGTGAGTAGGGCTGGAGGGTGGAGATGGAGACAGGAGGAGAGCATGGGGCTGTAAGGAGCTGGGCAGGTTTATTGGGGACTGGGTCGGGGACAGAGGGAGAGGGCTGGACGTCCCGGCGGAGCTCGTACCGCTGGGTTCGGTGCTGATGTGAGGTAGAGATTTGAGCAGGTGGTTTAGAAGACGGGCACCTAAAGTCTTGTCCATCCCAGGGCAGCTCAGGAGGAGGTTGTGCACCTCATGCATGCACTGGATGTAGCCGCTGCTGTATCTCTGGCGAGACTCAAAACCAGTGCCGGGACTGTTACTTCCACCTGAAAGGTTATAAAAATATAAATATGAAGTGTGGGATCCACCATTTTTATTTTTTGTTGAAGTAGAAGAAGCCTGTTCTGATTTGGCTGGTTCGAGCCTCAAAGGATCAGTTGACATTTCTGCGTGGAGTTTGCATGTTCTCCCCATGTTTATGTAGGTTTCCTCCGGGTGCTCTGGTTTCCCCAAGTCCAAACACATGCAGTATAGGTGAACTGAATAAACTAAATTGTGTGTAGTGTATGTGCGTAAATGTGTGTTTCCTATTGATAGTTAGCAGTTGGAAAAGCATACGCTGCGTAAAACATATGCTGGATAAGTTGGTGGTTCATTCCACTGTGGCGACCCCAGAATAAAGGAACTAAGCAATCAATGAATGAAATAATAAGTTAATACAAATATTTATTGAATAAAGTTTTGATTTTCATTTATTATTTGTGAATGACTTATTTTTCTTAGCATCATAACTTATATTTTCAGTGTTACGTGAGCTGACTTGCTGTGATGTTATGATCAACTAGTACTCAATCATTATTAATAATTCTTATCAGTATCAATTTAGATTTTCTTATTTATTTAGTATTGTGGAAAACCGTGATTCCTTTTACCTTTTACAGGGCTTCTAAGAGGTTCATCAATTCAAATGTAAGACTTTTTAAGACATTATGAATGACGTTTCAGATTTACACAAGGTTTGATGCTAAGGATTCTTTTAAATGGCCCAGATAAAACATTAAAACCCATTAAAACAAATGTTATTGTAAGGAAGATAATTAAACCATATTGGTAAAAATAAACTTTTGTATTGCTGTTGATTGGATGAGTGTTTGTCCGATTGGATAGCTTTTCCATGGACATAGGAAAATTAGGACCTGTTAAAAGTGATTTAAGACCTACAACAATATTTCAGTGAATTTAGGAGTTTAAAATGCCTGAATTGTAGCTTTCGAATTTCAAGAGACCCCGATTTTAGGATTCTTTGATAAAAACTTGGTCCAAAGTAAGAGCATTTATTTGAAATTTAAAAAGGAAAAAAATCACGTTATAAATGTCTTTATCCTCATTCTAATATAACAAAGTTCCTTGATTAAAAATAGCATATATACATGTTTAAAGGTAGTTCAATACACTTTTTAAAATTTTAGTTAACTATAATAATCCTGCTTCTACTATGTTTATTAAAGTTAACTGAAAAACAAGCAAACTTCAGTCTCATTAAAAATTTGTAAATACATAAACATACACACAACCGGGCAAAGGTTTGGGGTCAGTTTTTTTAAAGAAAATTATTCTGTTCATCAAGGTTGTTAAAAGTTGTTAAATATTTAATAAAATGTTAAATAACCGCTTTCTTATTGTATGCAATTTCAAATTAAATGATTATTGCTTTTATAAGTGTTAAATTTATAATAATAATATTAATAATAATAATAATTATTATTATTATTATTATAGTAATTGTTAATATTAGAGTGATTTCTGAAGGATAATATGACTCTGAAGACTGGAGTAATGAATCTGAAAATTCATCATTAAAATCATTGGAATAAATTATTAAATTGAATCATAAACTACTTTTAAGGAGTTATTTTATAGTGCAATAACATTTCACAATTTTACCATTTGTACTGTATTTTTGAATAAATAAATCCAGCCTTGGTGAGCAGGAGAAGCTTATTTTAAAACATTTTCGACCGGTAGTGAACATGAAATAACCGTAGCTTAATATGTGTGAGAAAAGTAAAGAAATGATGCACAGAATGTCTAACCCTGTCCATGACCTCTTTGAAGATTCTCCATGTGCTGAACTGTGATCTCCAGAACATCAGCTTTCTCCAGTTTAGATTGCTGTGGGAATTCAAATTATGATTTATTTTCATAAAAATGTTGAAATATTGAAGAGACATAAATTATATTGGTGCAATGACATAAACAAATGATCAAAATACCTCAGGCAAATTCTGAGGTAAAGTTACAGAAGAAATATTTTCCCCACAATGATGACTCTTGTACATTGTCTTATTATCTTTCGGGAGAGGTCTGTTATTTCCGGTCAAACAATAAATAGCTGGTTGAATAAAAGTTACTTGTACAAGAGTAAAAAGTAACGATGTACAATCCCTTAAATAACTTTAAGTCAGAATTTACCACGGGTATGAATAATTTGGATCTTGACTGTATGTATACAATGTATTTATTCATGTAGTTCACTTACGTCCAAATTGTAGGCATCCACCATTATACCCTTCAGCTGCTCAAGGCTCGAGTTTATCCTCTCTCTGCGTTTCTTCTCTATCAATGGTTTCCGCAGCTAAAATGATAGAAAGCATGTGAACTATTCATAAGATATCCTCAAGGGATTCATTTGCTCCCAGGTTTGACTATACCAAGACTTACAATACACAAGCCAGTTCAGTAATGCATATATCTAAAGAGTGAAACAGTCGTTAGACATCCCAAATGAGGTCATATTCATGTCATTGTTTAACAACTAATGTAAAGTCTTGCCTGAAGCTTACTGCAGTTACTCTGACATTGTTAAAAACAAAGGTTTAGAACAGTTTCACATGCTGCTACAGTGAAAAGTTCCACAGTTATTTCTGTAGAAAAAAAAAGATTTTAGTTATCTAAAGAAACTTCTGTAGAATGAAAAAGTTCTTTTGATGTAAAAAGTTGTTCATGAAACCATCGATGACAATAAGGAGTGCAAAGTCAGTAGTAGTAGTGGTGGTGGTGTCATAGTTATTTAAAGGGATAGTTCACACAGAAATCACAATTCTGTCATATTTTATGTCATCATTAAATCATGCTCAAATTGTTCCAGACTTATAAAGACATACAGATATTTTAGGACTGTGGCTAACCCCACTGTTTCTGGTTTACTTCCACAATATAATAAAAAATCTTCGAAGTCATTTGGGACCAAAAAATGGTTACTTACAACCTTCAATATATGACAAAAAAAAATAATGCGATGACAAACTATGACATATTTAGCATTTTGGGAGGGCAAACTATCTTTTAAAATTATTAATTTAATCAATGCAGATCATTTAAAATGGATTAGTTGAGGTAACAAAACATGCTAGGCAAATTGTATTGTGCTGTTTTGTTGTATTGAGTTGTTTATGAAATATATCAAGTGATAAAGTTTCTCTATGAGCACTGATGGTTATGAACAAACTTTTACAGGGTTGTTTCTAAAATGTTGTTTGGAGTTTTAAAATGTATTTCACTTATTAATAGGATTCACACTAAGAAACTTTTAATAACTTTCACTAAAAGGTTCTTCAAGGAGCCCGAATTGCAACTGCAATTTGCTACTGCAAAAACTCTGTCGTAGAACCATAAGTTTGAAGAGTGTATTGATACTTCGGATATTTTACATTTCTAATTTAAACAGAAGATATTCACATTTCACACCGTCACAAGAATGAAAACTTGAACGTAAAAGCTAATTTAATAAATCGCCATGTGATGTTTATTTATGCTTTTATCATGGATACATAAAATAAAGTTGAATATTTCGCTAAAGTTCGCACAGTCATCATCAAACCGCACAAAATGCCGCAAATGTGACATTACCTTTCGCTCCTCTTTTGCGTTGAAATTCTTCTCCGGACCATTGCCCATGTTGGAGGCCGTCATTATTCTCCACCAGTATGAAACTAGTTCAGAAAGTTTCCCACGAGTGTGCACGTTTGGGTTGTGGTGGCGTGGTCTCGGTGGAAGCAGAAAGTACACAGGCTCACTTAACCTCGTTTAACATGTACCCATGCGCCCCCTCAAACCTCCACCCACCCAAATTACCATGACAATACACGGGTGCTTTCTGCAGCACAAATTCCCACAGTCTCGGGTTTGGCCTGTTAAATAGCGCAGATCCCACGTTCCACACATAGTGCTGGTGCACTGAGATGAGGCTCAGGGTTCAAAAGTTTCACTTCACTGGTGACTCGCTGTCACAAAATGTTACACGCATTTGATTCAGCTGACAAACATTTCTAGGAACATTTTCTTTCCTGTTAACCCTTAAACTGTAATTTATATATATATATATATATATATATTATATGATAATATATGATAATATATGACGCACCTGTGGTACACTGCATGAAAAACATTAATTGAATTAACAGTTTTTAAGATAAGTGGTTGCAAACATTTTATAGTGGCTGAATTTTAACACAATTCGGTCATGTTTGTTTAAATTCAGCTCACATAAATTGTTTGCAACCACTTACCTTAAAAAAATTTAAGGTAAGGTAAATCCAATGATTTATTTAGTGACACAGAACAAAAAGTGGCCGTCACTTTAGACACATGAAAGTTAATCAATAAAATAAAATAGTTTATATTTCTTTTTAATATATTATTATATTCAGTGTTGGGAAAGTTCACAAAGTACTGCAATACAATATTGAGTTACTCCCCAAAAAGTAACTAGTTGCATTACTTTTTATGGTAAGTAATACAACTTAATTTTACGTTACTTTTTATACCTGGCTAAGGCTGGACCTCTTACAGAACTTTTTTTTTCTTACTTTCTTTTTAAATAGAGGAGTGCAATAAACAACACACTGTATAACTTAAACCAATTTTAAAATATAATTTTATCCGAGAACTTCCTAACCTAGAGCTATATATATGCCATATATACATGATTGTTAAAAGTTTAAAGCAGTGTTTGCTATGTTGTACTACTCTGCAAAAAATATGCTCAATTATAATCAGACATATGTTTTTATTTCATGGAACTTATTAAGTTAATATTGTTCTAACTTAATTTTAGAAGTTAAGCAAGCTGTTTTGAGTCAGTTTAGCATAAAGTACAAAATAATTTGATTCAACCTAAAAATTTAAGGCAACCAGGACTTTTTACAGTGTATTTAAGTAAAATTACTGTCCATTGAGATAATCCCATTTTCCTTTTTTTAATGCGTTCGAAATAAATAACACATCCTCCAATTGACTGCGTAATTCATTGTGACCAATTTTAGTTCAGTTATTTATTTAACAGATAATTAAATAAACTAAAAAGTAACTCGAGTTACTATAGGTCTAGTTAATCGAGTTTTTTTTTAAGTAATGCGTTACCTTACTCCTTACTTAGAAAAGTAATATTATGCCTTACTCCCAACAACACTGGCTATATTTCTGTAGACACCATTCAAATGATTATCTGTTTAATTCGGCCCTTAAGCTTAAAGAAAATATGGAATTAAATGTAGCCTATAAAAAAAGTAAACTTTTTAATAGCCATTAAATCCCAGGTGCAAACAAAAACAAGATATATCCCTACCCTCTACCCCAACAAAGACGGATGATGGAATTGGAGGATGGTAACGTGCAACAATAGCCAAGAAATCTTAAGTTTTTAAGTGTTTTCACAGTGGGAGAACTACTATTATCTCCCAGTGTCCCTCCCCTTCCTCCACACCATCCCCTTTCTCCAGCCCTCCGCATTGTTCTGTTCACCTACGGGACGGGCACACTCCACTGAAGCACGCCACGATCTCTCTTTCAGCAGTTGTCCGGCAATAATGACCCACAGTCAAGCGAATAATAGACAGGGTGCCAAATCCCTAATGGCCGTGCTAAAGTCTTCAGCAGCGCAGAAAAACACTGCCCTAATATCCACTGCTCTAAAGTCCACAGGAAGACTCGTTAAAATAGGGGCGCATGAAGGAGATAAGCTTTTGACAGTGCTGTCACTATGCAGGCTAGCGGAAAATAAATAATGTTAAATGACCGAATTTTACTTTTTTGCATCCAAAAACTAACCTTTCCCAAAACGCTGCAGGGATTTATTTGTTTGTTAATTTATTTTCTTATTATTTATTTACTTATTTATTTTCTTGTTTGTTTGTATATTTTCTTAATTTTTTATTTGTTTAATTTTTGGTTTATTTTCTACTGTATTTATTTGTTTGTTTTTAAATTTATTTTCTTATTTATTTATTTTTATTTTAAAACAACTTAAAGATAAAGAGAATGTTCTATGAAACCAACCACGCTAGAATTTAGGAACTTATTTTATTAAATTAGGAATAAATAAATAAATAAATAAAAAAATGTAACCCAAAGTTTTTTAATTGAATTAATTTAGGTTAAATGACCCAGTAATGTATATAGCAGTGTTTCCCAACCCTGTTCCTGAAGGCACTCCAATAGTACACATTTTCAACCTCTTACCAATCGAACACACCTGACAAGACACTTCAGGACAAGAAGAGACTAAAACATAAAGTTAATGGTTCAGATAAGGGAGATATCCAAAATATGCATTGTTGGTGTGCCTCCAGGAACAGGGTTGGGAAGCACAGTTAGAGAGAGGGTTACAATTAACGCATGCACAAATAGCTTTTTTATCTCCAGTGTGCAAATACAGAAACTACAACATACAGATGTTTTAAAATTGTAAGAACCTCTTTTTTAATCAACAGCTGTTTTCAGATATATTGGGACAGCAGGAGAAGCACATTTTTACCTACTTTGCGTTAAAGTAATCCAAATTCAACTAAATTAAAAACCTTTCTTTGATAGATGTTTTATTAAATGTGGAGTTATTTAAAAACAGACAGTCTGTCTGATTGCTAAAGATATCACTAACTTATGAACAAACATTTATTTTTTAAAGAATTCAAAACATTAAAACATCCAACCAGATATTTGGGGAAAATGAATATATATATATATATATATATATATATATATATATTTTTTTTTTTTTTTTTTTTTTTTTTACTTTTAATTAAACAGTTATTTGTATCGGTCATTTAAGGGTCACTAATAACTAAAGTTTTTCTCGAGTCTGATGTTTTGCATATCAATGAAGTATTTTTGCAGAAGTAGATAAATGCTGGTCCAAAATTTAATTCAGCTCTGCAGAAACTTCCTGTCAGCAGAAAGGTGTTAAAACACAAACCACAGAAAGTCTTATGCTTTTAATGTTGTGCAGAAAATTTATAGAAAAAGAGGACTTATGTCTGAGGTCGGCCAATAGAGGACTGGAGAATGATTGAAAAGTGACAAATTCCACGAAACTCCACCTGTTAATATCAGCTGCCTATATAAGCTGAAGTCAGGAAATGAAAGTTGTTGCACACCTCCTGAATGTAACTTTTGCATTGCATTGAGGATAACAGAATTCTGTAAATCGGATTATTCGTTTGTATCCAATAAATTGTTACAATTTTTGACATTAAATAAAGGCCTCTTCTGACCTTTTTTCTTGAACACGCATGGAATTGATTCAATATTCCAACAATAGACAAAAATTAAAACACTTAAGAATGCTTTAAAATACCTTAAAGGCATAGTTAACCGAATAATTTCCACACACTCAAGTGGTTCTAAACCTTTATTAATTTCTTCCCTCCTTAAACAAAAACATGTTATTCTGAAGAATGTTGGAAAACAAGCAGTAATGGACATCTATAGAAGAAATGTAAAAAATTATGGAACTAAAATGTTTCTCCCCAACAATTCTTTAGTACATCTACCTTAATGTTAGTCAGCTTACAGAACTAAGAAACTCTCAGGTTTGGAACAAGCAGAGGATGTGTAAATAATTGATAAAAAATTGCTATAAAAACTAGAATGAAGAATCATACGTATCATTGTGTAAAATTAATCGAACTCAAGAACAGATGTTAGACAAATAGCCTATTTATTTTAACTTGAAATGCTTGTATTACACCTGCTTGTATTAGGCCAGGTACTGATGTACAGGCTACCATGTGCTTTTCAGACATTGCAGCACATCTGACCAATCAAATTGTGCTATTTAACTGAGGTACTGAAATCAAGCCCACAAATTTGGCTCATTTCACAAATATAACACAATAGCAAACGACAACAGTACATAATTATTCATCACTCACTATCCTTCGGGCTTAGGGCCTGATTGGCATATGTTTTATTATTATTATTATATTTTTTATGTGATGGATGCCCTTTTAACATTAATACTACATTAAATTTATATGTACTAAAAATCAGTTAAGGCTAACAATGGTATCACGATATGCTAAACAATTAGACTATTAACTAAATGTAGACCTATAGAAGAATAAACCAACAACAAAATTTATGTTTGTCATAAATATTATATGTATCTGACACGCAAATGTTAAATTAGTAATAATTGCGTATGTGAACTTGTCAATTCAAATGTTTAATAGTTGTTCAGCAATATTTGTTCAGCAAAATGATTAAGCATTCCACCAGGGGGCGCTCAAATTATCTTAATAACATTAGCCTGCACATATAGATGCATTGCCTGATAATGCTTTCTCACATCAATCCGGAGGAACAGATTTATACTTTAGGGTACAGTTTGAACGCAACATTTTTGGTAGGTAAATTTCAACAATTTGATTGTTTAACTGTATGCCTACTTCATGCAGTAAGAAGGGTTATAACATCCCATGTAGACTACAAGTAGGCCTATACTTGTCAGTGTACCATTTCAGCAGCCTACTACTCCAGACGAAACTGGCCTATATTTTAGTCTATAAAAATGTAACCTTTAAGCATAGTGGAAATTAAACAGTTGTAACCTTTGAAGTAGGCCTTAGCTATGAAGTGTACAAATGTTGGGCACTGCATTTGAACTAAGAATTAAAGTATATCTATGAGAAGCACAAAAACCTTGTTACTTGTTTCATGTTCTATGCATACCAAATCATCCAAAAATTTCTGATTTACAGTAGGCTAACCTTTTAACTTGCATGGCAATAAACACATTTCTGATACTATACTGAAAGAATGGTGCTTTATTATTTTTAGTTTTTACAAAAGCAAACTAATGTCAAACTACTTTACATTTCTTATTCTTTCTTTTCTTTGAACATAACATCATAGATGGTAATAAAAATGTCATACATGTACCTACTGTTGAAGTCAGAATTATTAGTCCCCCTGATTTTTTTTTTCAATTTCTGTTTAACAGAGAGATTTTCTCAGCACTTTTCTAATCATAATAGTTTTAATAACTCATTTCTAATAACTGATTTATTGTATCTTTGCCATGATGACAGTAAATAATATCTGACAAGATGTTTTTCCAAGACAATTTTATACAGCTTCAACTGACATTTAAAGTCTTAACTGTGTTAATTAGGTTAACTAGGTTAGGGTAATTAGGTAAGATATTGTATGATGATGATTTGTTCTGTAGACTGTCGAAAAAAAATAGCCTAAAGGGACTAATAATTTTGTCCTTAAAATTGTCTTTAGAAAACTGCTTTTATTCTAGGCAAAATAAAACAAATAAGACTTTCTCTAAAAGAAAAATTATTATCAGACATCCTGTGAAAATGTCCTTGCTCTGTTCAACATAATTTTGGAAATATTTAAAAAAGAAAAAAAAATCAAAGGGGGGCTAATAATTTTGACTTCAACTGTATATGCAACAAAATGGTAAATAATATATAATTTTTCTACCATTACAATAACAAATACATATAGACATGGTCAGATATTTTATATTTCAGAAATCTGCATATCAGATTTCCTGTTGTTAGTGTGCATGGCTTCTTTCAAAGATTGGATAAAACAACAATTTAACAATATAATAGGAAGCAATGTTTAAACTGTACAGTAATTTTATTTTAGATAAGGTTGCAAAAAAAATTTATTTGACAGTTTCATTTGTGTATCTTTAAACGAACTGGAACGAATAAAGTCGTTTACGTTCATTTTCCTGTTTAGAATTTAACTGAGCCTTTAATTGTCATTTATAAGGGATTTATAAAGCATAAATAGTCCTCACTTTAGATTAGATCACAAAACTAGGTGAAGTTGAGTTAATAAAGCATTTATTAACATACCATAAGTAGATGCCTGAATAATAAGAATTATAAATGTTAATTTGAATAGTTTATTAATCATTTACTAACACATTCTGAACGATCCTAAAAAACAACCAACTATGCTTATATAACTGGTATGTAAATAATGCAATAGTTAATTTAGTAATGAAAAATAAATCATTAACAAGATATGAAAGCACATTATAAATGTAGTTGTAAGTCAAGAACAAAGCATTTGTAGCTGCAGTTATAAACTGCTTACTAAAGTTTATTAATGTAGAGCTAATGCTTAACAAATAATGAATTCACTGCTTGTTAATGCTTAATAAATGGTTCATAGTGTGTCGTTATTATAAAGTGTTACCAATTAAATATCTTTATGAATGAAACATTCAAGCTAGTAAAGAAAAAGTTTGCAAAGAAATTGTATGTACTACACTCTAAAAACAGAATTAAAAGTGGATCTTTGACTTATAATCATATGGGAAAGATTTTAAGTGCTACATGACACCTTCATCTTAAACGATGGTGCGTGTTATGTACCACTTTAGAAGCAAAGCTCTGTCATTTTCTAACCATTCACTGTCACAAACCTGTATGCTTTTCTTTCTGTGTTGAAGACAAAACAAGATATAAAAAAAAATGCTGACAACCTTTAACCATTAACTTCTATTGCATTTGTTTTTTCATTGAAGCCAATGGTTACAGGTTTGTAGCATTTTTTAAAACAATGTATTTTGTGTTATATAGAAGAAAGAAACTCAAATAAGATTGAAACCAATTAAAGACGAGTATGTAATGAGAAAATGTACACTTTTTTTGCATTAACTATCCCTTTAACCACCCCCAAAGCACAACTAAATAACCATTGCTGGTGCTATAAAGTGCTTATAATCATATGGGAATCAATTTGAGTTAAAGAATATGTGCTTAAGGGCACCTCAACTAACACATAGAACTGCTGAATAACCCATTTGTGTGTGTGTGTGTGTGTGTGTGTGTGTGTGTGTGTGTGTGTGTGTGTGTGTGTGTGTGTGTGTGTGTGAGAGAGCGAGAGAGAGAGAGAGAGAGAGAGAGAGAGAGAAAGATAGAAAGATGTGTGTTTGGAAACTGCATCATGAGAGGGATGTTTCATCTTTGCTTTAACAAATTAAATACATATGTGGTCAGTATTAATCAATGAAACGAACATGTATTAAGGTTTACACAAAAGAAGATCGGTATATGTTGCATTCAGATCAAAAAGGATGTGGTGAAATAGGGGAAGAGTGTGGAAACACACAGGAAAAAGGAGGTTTGGTGGTTTAAATTTTAGACACTTATACTCAAAACCAAACTTTTAAGCACTTAAATGAAACTAGACATGGGCTGATATATGAATCTAACGGTATGATAACTTTGGATGAAAATATCCCGGTTTGACAGTATTGTGATTACTGCTCTAAAATGTATTCTTTTTAAATGTCTGGGTTAAAAACTAAAACTTTTTCCCCTTTGAACTTAATATATTTTAGTTTAAGAAACATTTAAAATGTTTTAAAAACAGTAAACATGCCAGGTTAAATTATTAAAATGAATCATTGACTTCTGCTGTCTTTATTTATTTCAAAAACTCAGATTTCTTCACAATTTAAAACACCATCTTCGGACACCTTATCTGCTAGAGAAACTGTTGTCCTAAAAAACTAATAAATGTAAAAAAAATAAAAAATTAACACATACCTTAGGAATGGTATATACCTTACAATGTTAAGGTAAGGTAGCAAGTGATCATATCAAAGCTCCACACATGCTCATTTATTAACACGAAAATTTGAAAACTTTACAAATGCATAAATGAAGAGTTAAGACGTTCAGAGTTGGTTATTTTCATTGCCTTTAAAGTGCAAATGTTCATTTCAGAAGAAAATGACATGGTTTTTGCACCTGAACTCTTCATATGCTAATATAATGAGTTAAACCAGTAGATCTCAACTCTACACATTCCAACCCAGGCTCAATCTGAATATATACCCCAGTATACATTTCTCAAGAGCACCCAATGCGTCCCAGGAGCTACGTTTTTTTGAAAGTTTTTGTTTTTGCAAATCCACGAGAGGCCGATGTGTATGCTTTTTCAGATCGCACATTTCTTTCGTGAGTTTCATTCGCGTATCTGTTCTCGTGTAAACCTATCGATTAACAGACTGACCGAATATTTTCCTAAAAGGGAAAGGGAGGGGGGGAGGGGGGAGGGGGGATGGTGGCGGTTGGTATTAGGACAATTCTAAGGGCCCATGCATATTATTAGGGGCCCTCGTCCGCGACAGAAACCATCCACCCCCTCGCTCTTTACTTTCGTCAGAGAGCCCGTGGTAGCCATGTTCTGACACTTTTATTTACATGTTTATTTGTTTGGCTTTTGTTTTTGTCTTACCCGCTATTTGAAACTGTTCTTCAATGGACTCAAACCCTATCGGCGCGGTCAACTCCAATCCACGTCACAAGTCCACCAACATATGTAGCAAGCCACTGGACAAACCTCTAACAGCGAAAAAGACGTCCATATGGAGGTAAAGGTTAGCTGGTAAGCACGAAAAGGAATGTCACCACACCACCCTGTATCATTCAATTTAAAGATGAAATGTAGCCATACTTACTTCTGGCCACATAATTCACGATCTCCAGAAATGTATATGGGGTGCATTTTCAGAATGAGCCTATGTAGACAAATTTTGTATGTCTTCTTAATTTGGCAAACCCAATTCAGATCACCATCATCTTTAAACATACTTTTAAGCACCCCCCCCCCCACCCCCACCCCAAAAAAAGTTTTATAAAGTTATATATGTCATGTTTGATGTCACAAGCACATTCCAGTGAGAGTTCTTTGTAAAAGCAAAATTACTTACAAGGGCACATCAGTGGCTGAATGATTCAGTGGCTGATTACTTTCTCAGATACAGATATGAGCAAGCCCAATGCCTTCTGACTGGAGTTTATATGACACTTGCTTTTGCACACACTGTGCTTTCTTGCACACACTCACAACTAATCCAGAATAGTGAAAAGTCATACATCTTGTGGTTTCCTTTTTTCTCCGTTGCAATACACATGAGTCACAGATGTGATTGATCTCGTTTCTGATCTACTTGCTTGCTTCCTAATAATGCAGAAAGCAACACGGGTAGCAAAAGGTGACGATTATGTTGTGAGTGGGGTTCGAGAGCGATTGTTTCCATCCGAGCTGTGAGTGTTTATCTGACATTTTTTACGTACAGCTTCAGCGACCATTTTTTTTCTGAATGTCTCTGTTGCGAAGTAGTACGCCAGAGGGTCCAGCATTGCGTTCAGGCAAGCAACCATGAGGCTGTACCGATAGACCGTTAACATTGAGTCTGACATACTGGAATTGTTAAACATATGAAGCAGCACAAGAATAACATGATATGGCAGAAAACAAAGCAGAAAGATCGCCAGGTTAGTTATTATCATCCTTTTAATTCGTCCGCTGTCTACAAGTTCACTGGTCTGAGCTGCTGTGCTTTTATTTAATGCCTGAATGAGCCCCCATGAGCTGATAATCATGACGGTTAGTGGGATCCCGAATCCAAATACTATTGTGGAAGCAAGAACACCTGCTTGAGTTGCGTAAGTAGGAAAAGCACCAAAACATTGACGGGTCGTATTCATTGTCATGTTCATTGTGTGCACTATACTGGAATTATTGCGATTACTCGGTTTTAAGTAGATGGGTAAACTTGCTCCAAGAGTTAGGATCCATATTCCCAAACATACGCACCATGCTTTCTTGCGGCCCTCGCGGACCAGAGAAGACAGCGGAAAACAGACTGCTACGCAGCGATCGAAGCTAATGCAGGTGAGGAGGAAGATGCTGCCATACATGTTACTTAGCAGTATGACGCCGGCAAAATCGCAGACCCTCTGGTGCAGACACCCCAAACCTGCATGGTAATAGATCCGCACTGGAAGCGTGCAAACCAGAAGAACATCAGCAAACGCTAGGTTAACCATGTACATGGTTGTATGTGATCGTGATTTTGTGTTGCGAAAGAAAATCACAAGCGCAGTGACGTTGAGAGTCAGTCCAACTAGGAAGACCATCGAATACACGGTAACAAAAAGCCAATTCTGATGGCTTTTGACTGTTGAATTGGAGCATGTTGAACTTGACATTGCTGTCCGTGGCACTTAGTTTCTTGACTAGTCTTTAATAGCCTGTAAAGATAGAGAAACAAAAGGTTTTGTAATGAATTTAACCCCTCCGGTTGGTTCTATTCACCCAAATCTGAGCAGAGCTCAAACCAATGTTTATGGCAGGTAGCACAGTTCCAACTTTAGTTAAAGTCCACAGATTGTCGTTTGCTAGTGTGTCTTTAAAGAAAAAGAACTGAGGTTTACTCACAAAGATCTTGCTAGCTTGCCCTCTTAACCTTACTCCTATCCGGGTCACGGCACCAAAACAATTCCTCTGGTTCTGCTTGTAGGCGGATGCTCTCATAGGGATGCTAAAAACAACAGGGTCTTGCATCAGTCACTAGTGTGCCTCTACAGGCCGGGGAGTAAAGTTTATTTGCTAATTTCTCATTAGCTGGACTTCCTTCAACCCTAAACCTCACTCCCATCTGGGTTACATCATCAGTAGCTAGTTTCTACTGTCTAGCATAAAATGAGTGTGCTAGGGCCAATTGTAGTTCCACTAGCCCAGGGATGGGGAAACTTGATCCTCGAGGGCCGGTGTCCCTGCAGAGTTTTGTCCCAACATTAGTCAAACACACCTGAACAAGCTAATCAGTGTCTTCAAGATCACTAGAATCTATAAGCAGGTGTGTTTGATTAGAGTAGGAGCTAAACTGTGCAGGACACCGGCCCTCCAGGACTGAGTTTACCCACCCCTGCACTAGCCCTTCTGGGGCTTGGTCTACGCTTTCTCAGAGCTAATAGCCAGGGATTTTTGGTCTGCCAAATACCGTGATCTAAAGCTTCTACATTTATTAAGTCAGCCGGGAAGCAGCGACTAAACAAACATGTGTTTTTTTTCTTCTTGTAAAGAAGAATAGGTGCACTACACTCTCAGAAATAAAGGTACAGGGGTTGTCACTGGGGCAGTACCTTTTTAAAAGGTACATATTTGTACCTGAAGGGTCCATAATGGTATCTCAAAGGTACTTTTTAGTAACATTTGGGTACTAATATGCACCTTTTAGGTAACACTATGGACTATTCAGGTATGTATCTTTTAAAAAGGTACTGCTTTAGTGACAGCTCCTGTACCTTTATTTCTGAGAGTGTACAAATTAATAAATGACTGTTTATATTGTAAGGTAATAAGTTAATGCAGGAGTCGTGTTCTGTAGACCAAACCTTTGTATCTACCCGGCAAACACAATATGTTCTTCTAAAATGCACATGTGCTTCCAGTTTGGTTCACATCTTATTATTTTGTCAGGAATCAAATAAGTCTGTGGGCAGCTTTTTTTTCCCTATGTGTTTTTTTTTTTTTTTGTAGCAGTTCAAAGAGACCCTAAGGGTTGTTTACACTTGGTCACTCCATGCACTTTGTTTTTAATCAGATAGCTATCGAATCATTAAAAGGACAAGTGTAAATGGCCTCCAAAATGCATTTGAGATGGATATAAATCCAATCGCAAACCACTTCAGGGGGATGTACTGGGATGCATGCTAAACTGGACAAGTCTAAAATACACCTGGTTGTTGAAACTGCATATATACAAACAAAGCAAGTCTCTCATATGATATATCTACTAAAAGACAGAAATTGTATTGAAATTGTACAAGCTGTATTGTAAATAAATTAGTCAATAATATCACTGAAATTAATTTAAAAACTGAATAAATCTAAATTTACACACATTTACACAAGTAAATAAATGAATTCAATAATGAGCTAAAAATCTGCGGAAGCCTACTGATTTCTGCAAGCGCTGATTCCGTGTGGGCCTAGTTATGGGCTATATTACAAAATAAGATATAAAACTGGGAATGCAACGGCAACAGCACGATATCTTTTTATTTATTATTATTTTTAATTAATTCTATTTCTACCAAGTTATTGATCGTTAAATGACAAAAATTTGTTAAATTAATAGCAAATGGCTGCATTGAAAACACATCACACGTGATGCTGTGAATGGAGGAAAAATAATAATCAAACAATAAGCTATAACATTTCTTGTTTAGAATGTTTTACTGTGATGATATATTATACACAAATGAATGTAAGCTCTTCACAGTTTTGAATTATGTCTTGCACATAACTGTACGAAAAAAATCATTTCATTTAGCCCTTAATGACTTATCATTGTGATATTATTAGCGTTTTAATTTATATTTGTGCCACCCTGAGGCATAATAACAAAGACAGTAAAGAGCACAACCTGTAGTGTCAAACGTAGGTTTTTAGGACATGGAAATAAAATTTTGTAACAACTTGTCAAGTTGCATCATCCTCATGTTTAGCAATCTCAAATTGAAATTTGCTCAATGATCGTGTGTAGAATTTCAACAAAGTACAGATAGGAGCTTGAGGTAAGAGCTTGTGCGAGTAAACCTTTCCTCCTACTCAAGGAGTTTAGAAACCAACCTAGGGTTAACACATGTTTTTTTTTTTAAATGTCAAGTGAGATAAACAGCCTCATTAAGGAAACACTATGTCTTGAAATGTGTCAGACTTACACCCATGTTTTTGTTAAATTTATTGCAAAGTACTAGTACTAGTTTGCCTTTCAATATGTATTACATGAGTTAAGCATTGTGGATATGTTAACAAAATTAAGGTTCAGTAGCAAATTTAAAGTATATAATGCAAGTGTATATAGATTATATTACAGCATATACAGTATATAAACTTGCACACATAACACATCTTAAATGTACAGATATAGCTGCTGATAACCCAGAAACAAGCCATTTAAATGGACCAACAGATAAGACATATGTCAGAAAACTCAATCCCTTTAATATTGTTCAGTTCATCTCTGACATTTCCATTTTGACATATGTGCAGCCTATACAATCATTTCTCATTCAGACGCAGACTTAGATTTTAAGTGAGCAGCTGTTTCCTTAAAGTAGGTTGTACATTACAGAAAACTGTAATTTGTCAATAATATCCAATTAAAAAAGATTTGTTTGAACGGGAATTTGAATTTAAACTCACCGTTTGTGTTTCCTCCGAGAGTTTCTTCAGTTGGTACTTATGACGATGAACAAAGACACACGTATGTCGCAGTCTCATCTCGCGCTTCAGGAAATGCTTTTGTGGTAAAGTGCAGAAGTCTAATCATTTCTGCCCTTTTCTTGTGCTTCTTGAACATCTATGAAGAATGAACATATACATGCATAAAAACCCAACTGGTGTCTTTAATAACAGGTTGCATTTAATATACAATGAAGATTATAAAACAATGTAAAACACTTTTAAGTTTTAAGAAATTATTCAAAACATATCAAATAATAAATGTAACATTTTATTTTGTGAAAAGCTCAGTTATCAGAACTGATTGTAGCACAAAATAAAATAGCTCTAACATTTGTGAAGATTGCAGCAGTCAAAAATGAGTGGGACATTGTAAATGAAGGATTTCAGCACATGTGTGGCCTCTCGCTGCTCTGCTGTGATCTCAGTCTGCTCTTCTTCAGTCTCCTCCACAGTTCCTTGACTACTAAGTTTCTTAGCTATAACCGCTGACATGGCTTTAAGGTTTAGTTCAGGACTCTGGCTTGGACATTTCATTATTTTAGTGTTTTCAGCTTTAAGGATCTGCTTTATCTACTGTGTTGTGTGACACTGGTTACAGGATTTAATTACGACTATTATTTGAATATAATGATAAAGGTCTGTATAACTATGTAAAAGAACAAAATATTAAAACTGTTATTCTGTAGTGTAGTCTTGTATTGTTTTTCTGTTTTGTTGACACTGTTTTTGTCCTACTTCTTCTGCTTATTCTTTGTGTTAATGGCCATCAGCTTACAAAGAAACCCATACAAAATCACCACTCACTGTACTGGTGTTTGTAGCTGTTTCAGAAACCCCCGCCCCCTCAAAAAAAGTCCTAGACTCACATGTCCTGTTCCTATTGGTTTTCATATGTCATGCGTTTTTGTTCCTATTGAATGATGTGGCCATGTGACCCTCTTTTCATAAATGTGGCCCTGGACCACAAAACCACTCTTATGTTGCATACAGGGGTGGATTTAACCAATTAGTGAAGTAAGCAAGACATTTCTAGCCCCTCCCCCAAACATAAATTATACCTCTAACATTGATGTTTATTCAGTAAAATGTTAATATAATTATTACATCTACACAAGATTGTCTTTCACCCCACAATTATGGAGCAATCCAGCAGTCAAGATTTAGTTTTAAATAACAATATTTTTACAATTTATTTACTATGTACAGTTGCGAATGCGTTTTAAGAAAACAAATAATTTACAATGTTGATATTGCATTAAGATAAAACTTAGAAAAGGAGATTGAGTGATATATAAAATAAATTAAAACAATAAAAGTACAAAAAGGTGCATTTTAGGACTGTAGGGCCCTATGGCTGGAATTGCTTAGGGGCCCCGTATCACTAAGTATTCATCAAATATTTATATGAATCACCAAACACACATTGTATGGGTCAAAATGATACGTTTTTCTTTTATGCCAAAAATATTATAGAATATTAATGTCATGAAGACATGTAAATGTAAATTTATACCTGTAAATACATTAAAAATGATTTTTAGTAATGTCCATTGTAAAGCACTTCAGATTTTCTCAGTGCTTAAATGTTTTTGAACCCTTAGAATCCAGATTTTCAAGTATTTTTGTGTCACAAAATATTGTACTGCTAAAAATTGCTTGTCCGTGTCAAGTTGAATGAAAAACAAAGAGAAGGAACTGCATGTTACTAAATGAGCTTATAAATTATAATAAATATACACTACCGGTCAGAAGTTTGGGGTCAATGGGATTTTTAAATGTTTTAAAATAAGTTTCTGCTGCTCATTAAGGCTTCATTTATTTCATAAAAAACCAGTACACACTTTACAATTGTGAAATGTTATTGCACTATAAAATAACTGCTCAAAAGTAGTTTATCATTTAATTAATTAATTTATTTATTCCAGTGATTTTAATGATGAATTTTTAGCTTTATTATGTCAGTCTTCAGAGTCACACGATCCTTCAGAAATCACTCTAATATGAATTATTATTATTAATAATAGTAATAAAAACCATGATGACTGGAGTAATCCTTTCATTTGAAACTACATACAATAAGAAAGCAGTTATTTAAAATTATTTCTTTATTTTTTTTTAACAAATTACAATTGTTTTACATACAATAAATGCCGCCTTAATGAACAGAATAATTTTAGGTAGTGTATGCATTTATTATCAGCCTTTTTAGAGGATTTGAATGCATTAATGACCTTATTAAGATGCAATTCTAGAAATTGTAGATTTGGCATGATCAGCCAATCTTGTTCTGGATAAAATGGCCTCCTACGTCCTTAATCTGGACAACTTGTAAAAACTAAAAAGTTTGGCTGCCAGACAACCTGGTTTTGTAAAATATTTATGAATTTTCCAACATGTGCAAAATTAAAACCAATTACTGCAAAATTTCTGAAAGTGTTCGCTAAATTTTAATATATTTTCAAATATCTGATTTAAGTTTTTATACTAGGTTTTAGAATATATTTGACTCATGAAATATGCTTAAAATACTCTTTTACATCTGTTAAGAGATCTATTCCTGTTAGTAAGAACTAAGCAGTGACCTTCAAACTTAGGAAATAGGTTGTTCTCTAAATTTTATCTTTACTGTGTTTTCACTAAAACAGGATATGTGGTACATTTACCATAGACAATGATCTCTGCCTGACTAAAACGTTATTATCTGATTTTGTTTTAAATTAAAATCTTACACTATCTCCACAATAAACTGCAACTGGAACTGACTCTGTCTGGTATCGCAAGAGTTATTACTCTTGATAACCTTGCATAAATGTAATTCAACAACAAAAATAAACTCAAAACTGTTTTGTTGTTGTTTATTTACAGATAAGAAAATCATCTGTATACAATTTCTATTCATATAAAAACATACATTTGAACAACATTATAATAAAATTGTAATGTAATCTGCCTAATTCACAACATAAAATGAGCAAAAACATAATTCAACTTCAACATATTTACATTTATACAAAAATAGGACGCTTTTATCCACATGGAGTGTTTGTCAATCTATTATTCAATATTACATGTGCAAAATATATGGACAACATATAATGTTGGACGGTAGAGTATGTTTTGCAGGTCCTTTCTGACTTATTACCGGTATCACCGATGCTGTGTTATCTGGTGTCGTCCTGAACTTAAGCCTCCTAAAATGATAAAGCATAATTTAGACTCGCTATCAAAAAATGAGGCAAATCAATCTTACTGTTGCAATGCTATCAGTAATAAATGCAGTTAATGAGTAACTAAGTGACCTTAAGAAATAAAGTCACCTTTGAATCTACAACACGTACCTCTTTGCGATTGCATGTACCACAAATGCAGCCGAACAGGCCGTTGAACACCTGGAAGCCACAGAGCAGCAGCTCTAAACAAGCAGCCACAAGCAAAATGGCAAACAGGCCCAGGTTAAACTCCACTATGTTTTCTGGCTCCTCGCAAATCGTCCAGGTGTCAGAGTTTCCCAGGTAGTTTTCAGTACTGTGCAAGAAAATAAAAAATAAATTGCATCAACAGTCATTTATTATCGCTTTTTTTTTTCTTTTTATACAAATAATTCACCCAAAAATTAAAACCCACTCATTATTACTCAACCTCAAACGGTTTTAATAAGTTTCTTATTTTTGTTGAACTCAAAAAAAGATATTTTGAAGAATGTTGGAGATCAACAGCTATTAATATTTATAGCAGTGTCAGTGTCAGAAACATTGCTATATCAATAAATATTGACACTGAAATATTTAAAATCATACAATCTTGCTTTTGGTTTGTATCAATACTGTCTTTGCTCTCTTGCACACTCTGTTTTCATTAGAAGGGAGATTAATAATTGCTTATATTATTAAGATTTTGATGCTTTTGCTTTAATCAGAAAGTAAGATGAGATTGTACTAATTGATGCAATTTTTGTAGTATATTGCCTTTTGGACTTTTTTCCTCTTTTTTCACTTAATTTGCATAATTTTAATGTTGTTTTAATGATTTTAATAGTACCAAAAATCGATATTTTTCAAGGTATCCAAGTTGGAAACTCCACTATTGTGACAACAATACCGAACACCAATATTTTTCAAGGTATTGAATCGAAGTTAGAAATTCCAGTATCATCACAACACTAATAGTATTGAATATCAATATTTTTTAAGGTATCATATCGAAGTTGGAAATTCCAGTATCGTGATAACAGTACCGAATGTTGATATTTTTCAAGGTATCATATCGAAATTGGAAATTCCAGTATCATGACAACCCAAATAGTATCGAATATAAATTTTTTATAAGATATATCGAAGATGGAAATTCTAATATCATGACAACACTAATAGTATCAAATATTGATATTTTTCAAGGTATTGTTTCGAAGTTGTAAATCACTCTCAAGAAAACCTTAATTCAGAGTAGAAACAAATACTGTGGAAGTCAGTGATTACCCATTTCCAACATTCTTCAATATATCTTCTCTTGCATTTAACAGAAAAAAGCAACTTAAACAGGTTTGTATTAAGCACAAGGGTGAATGCTCACAGGATTTTTGTTATACTTTGGGCCTTTTAAATGAGATGCAGCAACTTCTTACCTGTTGTGGAATGGTCTGGTCCATTGTCCATTATCAATCCTGCAAACTGGCCCTTTAAGCAATGCAACCACAGCTACGGCACCGCTATAGAAGGCACCCACCACACCAATTGCTGCAAAGATGATGGACAGAAACATCTAGTGGACAAAGACAAAACAACAGGTCAGTTAAACCCTCACAAAAATGTACAAAAGAAAAAAAGTTTTAAAAGCGGTAAAGTGTTTTGAAAGATGCACTTTTATTTAATCTGTGATGTAATTTCAACTTTAAGTATGAAGGACATCAAAACTGACCATATGATTTTGTTAGCTCACATTGCTAGTTTTGTGGTGAACAATTCAGCTGTGGATAACATTAAAAAAAGAAGGTTGCTCTTCTAATCTTTCATTGAAATATGAAAATGCACTTCAGTTAAATTCTCAGATTACATCTGTCCAGCATTAAGCATTGTTAAAATTCATACATAACAACACCCCTACAACTGTCAGTTTTGACAACAAACAGAAATGGTGAGAATGAGGAGTCTGTTAGGTTATAATAACTCTCCCCAAACCCTTTTCCCCATCTTTCTGAAAGAAATGCCTAAACAAGTCACACCTACGGTTTTCTCTTTTAATATTTAAATTTTCTAGAAACTGCGCCACAATACGAAAAAAAAGGTTGCAGCTTCCAGTTCATGCGGACTTTAAACATAAAGACAGGATGAGACATAAAGTAGCTTCTCCCCTTTAAAAAAAAAAAAAACCAATAGAATTTTGTTTAACAATAGCTCTACCAATGAGAGTGGTTGAGCTCAAGCACATTAAATGAAATGCAAATGAGAAGCCTCTTTAAAAGTTTTGATTGGTCAGAATATTTGACGAGACGTAAAAAAAAATCATTGATCAATTTGGACAGAAGTGTCAAGCTGCAAGCTTTGGTTGTTTATATCTTCTAAATGCTAATTTTGTCACTTTTTTGGAGCACACTATATTATAGATATCCTCAAGACTTACATATTAACATCTAAAAATATATATTTTGGTTTCACAAGGACTTTAAGTATTTGTTTACCTAGAAACTAACCAGTATGTTATACTGAATTCTTTTATGAAGCACAAAATTATGTTTTAAAACTTCTCCAACTGTTATTTACGCATAGAGTAAGAGTTAATGGTTTCAAACTTTTAAAGTTCAACGGCTAAAGCTAATGCACTGGCTTTCTTGAGACGTCAAGGCTGTAATGTGATGGTTAAGAAAGGCTTACATGATCTTAATCAATCGTTGCACTCTCTCCAATGATAAACATGAGGGCACTTCCAACTCTGAAATTTGAAATGCATCTAAACTCAAAAATTGCCATATTGTAGTTTTTTAAAACAAGTTGCTTAATACAAAACCTACATGCTTTTAATATTTCCTGTAGAAATGTAAAGTGCAGATCTGTAACTGTGACATGTTTCCAACTGAAACAAGATGCTAAATAGAAAGAAATGTTTTATTTCATCACTCCAACTCATAATCTCTTACTTGCGACAAACAAATGTTTTGCGAGAGTGGTTTAGAATATTCTGTTAAAGCTGTCAATCTGATATCAAAGAAGGAAGTCCATTCCACAGAGAAAGCAAAATTTCAGGCTTTCATTTAAATCTGTGTGAAATGAAAGTTGCTGCAGACTTTTATTTCAGTCTAATGATGTATTAGCAACTGGTATGGAATACTGAGTAGGCGGCAGAGTTTCAGTTTTGCAGTTATCCTATTGTCTTTCACTCACAGCAAACTAACGGTTAGAGGCACGTGGCTAAGCATATTTCGCCCAATCTGTCGAACTAATTTCATCAAAGAAGATCTGCCATTTCATAGCAGAGGCAAACGGTCAAATTTGAATTAGAGATTACTGAAACATGCAGCTTTCATCCTGTGGATTATCTTGCACATCTAAATTGTTCACCTTAAGAATCAACGTGAGCTAGCAAAATAAACACTAACTTTTGACTGATGAAGTTTGGAAAGATTACCATGGCCAACATTTCTTTCATAATAAACTAAACAATCTAGTAAAGAAACAACTATGAAGAGTTAATAAGTCCCAAAGCCTGCCTACACTTTTGTTACACACTCAAAAGTACATATTTTAAATAATAGGATTATTTAAACCTAATTTGACTTAAAATATAAACAAAACAAAAAATCAGTAAAATGCAGTTTCATCCATCAAAATCCTTATTTTTTCCAAGTTAAATCCATTACGGTAAATGTATTTTTATGAGGCTATTACATTTGTTGTCGTGCACTGAACTTTTAAAATAAAGTGAAAAAAGCTGAAGCTGTGGCCAATCTTACCCCACAACGGTTTGCACAGCATCCTTGTCTCCCAGTGCTATGAATGTGAATTGCAGGGATCAGCACCTAAGATTAAAAATCAGCAGACATATCAAACATAAATAATTCAAAGAGATGTAGCCCACATTTCAAAAACCGAAACGAATGCTCAGTTTGTGTTCACAAAAATAGAAACCAAGAAACCGAGCAGACAACACTAACATAAAAGTCAATTTAAAAGTAGTCATGTCTCACCAAGATGCCGCCTCCAACAACACCTCCCATGTATTTGATCTCATCTGTCAGACGGTACTCTCCGTCCGCATCCTCCACAGCGTAGTCGGTTTTAAAATCAGGGAAGAACAGAAAGATGTTGCTGAGAATGGACACTAGCGCCAACGGATAGAGACTGATGCCAATAAACTTGGCGCACTTTCCGGTACACATAATGTTAGTATTTTGTTAAACCGAGGATCAGAAATGTTAAGCCTTTCTTCTGGAGTGTGTTCAATCGAGGAGAAGGTGGATTATAAATACTGCTTTTGACCAGACAAACACACCTTTTCGACGTCAGACCACAACTGATGTCACACCTTTATCACATATTAGTGCTCATAAAAGTGACTGTACTTTGAACTGCCAATGCCATCCTGTCAATGAAGACTTGTTATTAGATGGAATAATTAGTGCTTTTATATACATTGATTTTGCCAACCCAAATAAATCAATGAGCGCATTGCTGGTAAAGATATATTTATCATTTACATGATTAGAATATTACCCTTTGATCCCAGAGCTCAGTCAATGTTATCTACTGTCAGAGGTGTGTGGTTCTGGCTGAACTTTAAACTTTTCAGAGCACTTAAACAGACCCCACATAGTCTCTAATCTGAAAAACTATAAACCATGAGCGGAAACTCTGACCAAATTCACACTACTTAATCAGTAAGCTGTAGGTCTATATTTTTAATGTATTTTATGTAATGACACTGCATGTCAAAACTGTTGAGAAATGGATCAAAGTACAGATCCGTGAACATTTCTGTGTAATATTTCTGATGGCAAAACAGTTAAAAAGATATTGTTGACTCAAAGCTTTATGAATTTTGTCCCTTTAAACACAACAGAAGATACTGTATATTGAAAAATGTTGAAAGAAAGATTTTGAGGAATGATGAAAACCTGTAAACATTGACCTCCAAACCAGGAAAAACAAATGCTATGGTGTCAATGTTTACAGGTTTTCTTCGAAATATCTTTAGCATTGAACAAATCAATATGGCTTTGGAAGCACTTGAAGGTGAATAGCGAGTAAATTTAAAACGATGTGTATTTAACATATTGTTTTATAGTTTGTGTGAGGAAAATAATCACACTTACCGGCCACCTTATTAGGTACACCTCTCCAACTGCTCACTAACACAAATTTTTAATTAGCCAATCACATGGCAGCCACTCAATGCATTTAAGCATGTAGACATGATCGAGATGATCTGCTGCAGTTCAAACCGAGCATCAGAATGGAGAAGAAAGGTGATTTGAGTGACTTTGAACGTGGCATGGTTGTTGGTGCCAGTCGGTCTGGCCTGAGTATTTCAGAAACTGCTGATCAACTGAGATTTTCACACACAATCATCGGGCAATGGTTTAATTTTTTAATACTGTTTTAGTGTGGTCAGCTGTGGTAGCATCTTTTAAGCAGATTAAATTATTTAAAGGTTCTATTACTTTCGTGTTTTAGGCATTGAAACCAAACTGTTTTTGTGTAATCTATTTTACATCTTACATGCTGCTTACTTTTATGCATACTTTACATTATGTGCCTTTTGCTGTTTTGTTTATTATGCCCATACTGCTTGTTTGTATTTTCTCTGTAAAGCACGTTGTGCGCCCTTGTGGCAGATGGAAACAGTTGATATAAAAATAATTTGAACTTGAACAATGGAAAATTGAAAAAAACTTGCCCAGTCTGAGTCTCAAAATTCTGCAGCAACCTTCGGATAGTAGGGTCAGAATTTGGCGTCAACAACAGAAAAGCATGGATCTATCCTGCCTTGTATCAACAGTTTAGGCTGGTGGTGGTGTAATGTTGTGGGGGATACTTTCTAGCCACACTTTGGGCCCATTAGTACCAACTGAGCATAGTGTCAACGCCACAGCCTACATGAGTATTGTTGCTGACCATGTCCATCCCTTTATGACCACAGTGTACACATCTTCTGATGGCTTCCTCCAGCCACATGACGCGCCATGTTATAAAGCGCGAACCATCTAAGACTGGTTTCTTGAACATGACAATGAGTTCACTGTACTCAAATGGCCTCCACAGTCACCAGATCTCTCAATCCAATAGAGCACCTTTGGGATGTGGTGGAACGGGAGATTTGCACCATGGATGTGCATCTGACAAATCTGCAGCAACTGCGTGATGCTACCATGTCAATATGGACCAAAACCTCTGAGGAAAATTTCCAGTACCTTGTTGAATCTATGCCACGAAGGATTAAGGCAGTTCTGAAGGCTAATTGGGGTCAAACCCAGTCCTAGTAAGGTGTACCTAGTAAAGTGGCCGTTGAGTCTATATTAGCAAGAATCTAAGTTTTCAGAAGGGCTGAAATGGAAAAAACTGAAAAGTAAAACAAATGATTCACACTCTTAAAAATAAAGGTTCTTTATAAGCATTGTTGGTTTAATAAAGTACCTTTACCAGCCATTAAAGTAAGACAGGTTCTTTAGATTATTAAAATGTTCTTTACACTAAAATTGGTTCTTTAAAACACAGTCTCTTAAAGGTTTGAGGAATACAAAATGCTGTTTCTATTGCAATGCTCTGAAAACCCCAATTTGCAACCTCTATATTTAACAGTGTATATAAAAAAAGACAGACGCTGACTGTCGTCTTGGTTCGTTAACCACAACCTATTTACATAAACCTGCATGATAAAAAAACATGTGCAGGGACTTTACACAAACTCTTTGGCTTACCAATGTCAGATGGCATATGATTGTGAGATTAATGAACTCTATTTGACCCTTATGTTAAATAAAATGTGTTTTTAATAGTTCTTTTGTTTTTGACAATTGTAAAATACAGTAAATGCATTATGCTAAACCTGGATATGAATCAATTTCTGAGGCATAAGCTAGACTGAATAAGGTTGGGACTGGGGGTGAGGCGACAAAAACTAAACTAATACTGTATGTAATTAAATTCGTAATCGGATATAAAAAGCATATACTGACCCTCTAATACTAGCACACAGTGTTATTTTTATTCCATCAAATTATGTTTTGCTTTATTTATTAAAAAACCTGCAATGTGCTACACTCACTGGGACATTTCATATATATATTTTTTTAATCGTTTCCATTATAGTCATTTTTAAACCAATTCGGATAAAGGAGTCTGCTAACTGAACAAATGTAAATAATTTGAACATGTTATAATGTGAAATAATGTATCTACATTTAGGCTATGTCAAATGACATGTCCTAAGATGTAAAGACTGTTATTTTTCAATACAGCATTTGATAACCTAAGGTGCTTCACAACAGCAAATCATTTTCCCACAAACGACAAGCATTAAAATAATCCATCTATAGATTATTTTTTCCGAAAGCAGTTTTAGTATGAAAACTTTGACCTCATTAACTACTCAATTACATATTACAACTACTCCTGACGTCAATTGAATCAGTCATCGTCTGTCACATGGTTGAAAAAAAGATAAGGTCTAAATATAACTTCAAAGTCTAAATATAACTTAAAGTAAAAGCATACTTTAGGCTATAAAGCCACGAATAACATTCATGATTTAAATTATTTAATTTTCAGCAAAAAGCACTGCGACCTGATTTCCACTGTATGTTATGTTTCCAATGGCCTTATTACACCAGTGTAAAGTGCGAAACACACTTTTTCCAGCCACATTAGCTTTTTGAAGTCACTTCAGACAGCCGGATGTGAAATACTTATGAGTAATATAAGAAGTGAATGCTCAGAGTCAGCAACAAAAAGCTATTTCTAAATCATAATCACACTGACTGGTGACCTAAATGAACGTGTTCTTCAATAAGGTCAAGATTGTTCAGGTAACTCAACTTCAGGTCCTGGATTGTGTCAGTGCTGTTACTCCCTTTGAACTCGAAATAATGGCCCGTGTCCAGGAATGATGACGTCAGCCATCTGTAACGCCATCTGCCGGTTGGCCTCTTGAATCTGAGGATTCTCACTCAGCTCTTTCCAAGAATCTTCATCATGACAGCGTTCAAACAAGTCTCCTGCAACAAGCACTGAACCCTCTGATGTGCCTTTCACCAGGACACTGACATCTCTGCCCATGTGACCAGGTGTGAAAATGATAGATACCTTTTGGATAAACAGGATCAAATAGGTGCATTAGCATTAGTGAATTAATGCACACATACACGAGTTATAGTATGATATGCATAATAATATACACAAAACTGTTTTATGATTTAATATTTTTAAATCTAATTTATTCCTCCTATCATAAAATATGATATAAAGTGCTTAAAAAAAAAAGAAAGCCATTTAAAACTTCTTTTACCCCTATGCATACAGGTTCTTTAAAAAAAAAAATCTGAATGTTTTACCTAGACTCACCGGCCACTTTATTAGGTACACCTGTCTAACTGCTAGTTAACACAAATTTCTAATCAGTCAATCACATGGCAGCAACTCAGAGCACTTAGACATGGCCAAGATGATTTGCTGCAGTTCAAACTGAGCATCAGAATGGAGAAGAAAGGTGATTTAAGTGACTTTGAACTAGGCGTGGTTGTTGGTTGTTTCAAAAACTGCTGATCTACTGGGATTTTCACACACAACCATCTCCAGGGTTTACAGAGAAGGGTCCGAAAAAGAGAAAATATCCAGTGAGCGGCAGTTCTGTGGGCGCAAATGCCTTTTTGATGCCAGAGGAGAATGGCCAGACTGGTTCGAGCTGATAGAAAGGCAACAGTAACTCAAATAACCACTTGTTACAACTGAGCTATGCAGAAGAGCATCTCTTAATGCACAACACATACAACACATCACCCAAATTGGGACAATTAGAAGACTGAAAAAATATGGCCTGGTCTGGTTTCTTGAACATGACAATGAGTTTACTGTACTCAAATGGCCCCCACAGTCACCAGATCTCAATCCAATTTGGGATGTGGTGGAACAAGAGATCTGTATCATAAGTGTGCAGCCGACAAATCTGCAGCAACTGTGTGATGCTATCATCTCAATATGGACCAAGAGTTCTGAGGAATATTTCTAGAACCTTGTTGAATCTATGACATGAAGGATTATGGCAGTTCTTGAAGGCAAAAGGAGGTCCTTCCCAGTATTAGTAAGGTGTACCTAATAAAGTGGCCCGTGAGTGTATACAGCAGATCCAAATGTAGAATATTTATTGGCAATACTAAAGTATACAGGCCTATTTACACAGTATTCGTTCATTTTTACTAACTTCATGTTAGCCTAAATTATATCTACACGTTATCAAAATAAAAAGAGTAATAATGAGTTAATGCTCCAACTAGGGTTACCCAAGATTCGTATTTAAGCTTTTTCCTATATTAAACTGTTCAAAGAGGTTAAAACGTTCTTGAAAGTCTATGCATGTACCTGTTTGATATGAATAACTTACAAAGTCATCTATAGTGTACGGCTGTCCTTCAGCCAGCTGGTTTGGCAGATATTTATCTCTTACGCTTATGTCTGATCCCACAATTATTTTGGCCTCAGGAAACAACCCTAAGTTTCCCACGTGGTCCGAGTGACCGTGGGTTCCGACAACTATATCAACGCTGTCTGGTGTCAAACCCTTCTCTTTGAGTTTAGCCACGAGAAAGTCTCTGTCCCACGGACCGCCTGTGTCCACTAAAATAATGTTTGGTCCAGTGATTAAAGTTATAGTGCCGTCTGCCCTGAACGCGCCGTCATCTTCAGCCGTACAGTAACCCTCCTTCAGCACTGACACGCTGTACGGCTGACCACAAATGTCAGAATTGATGCCGGATTCCGTTTTTCTTATTGAGCAATGCGTGGCCATTTGACTGTGTAGTATGTGATAAGTCCAAACTATCAAGGATATGGCAAGCCGTTTTAACATTTCATCTAAAAGCAATATTACACTTACAATTTTTTATATATATTAAAATTAAACATGTTATTTGAAAAATTACAGCCTTTTGAGTCATTAATGTGGAAATGAATTGTGCTTTTTCATTTTTCAGACATTTATCATTTTTATCTCATGATTTTACATGAAGCATTTAGTTAGCTTTACTTGTGTGACTTCCTTTAATGTTAAGGAATTGTAAAAAAAAAAAAAACTACAATATAAATGAATAAATTTAGACAAAGTATTAGCATTGTATTGTATTGATTGTCAACAGGTTAGATTCCTTTAGTAAAATGCACTTTCCATTAAAATGATCACTGGTGTTACTGTAAGTATTGTAATGTCACTAACACCACTGAAGATCATCGTTTTTCTCACTGGTGATTCATTATTGTCACTGGTGAAACTATTTTGTGATGTACAAATCTTTATATCTGCTGCACTCCGTATTTATGATTTATGGGATTCCATCATTACATGCTTATGATATTCATATATGTTTATAGCAAATGTATGGTTGCAGAAATTAACTAACATTTTGAAAAGACACTTTTAACAAACCTGATTAAAACAAATAAAGTCTCCTTATTTGTTTTTATGTAACTTTGACTACATAGAATGAAAAAAATATATGAAATAATATTATAATAATGAGGGTGACACGGTGGCTCAGTGGTTAGCACTGTCGCCTCACAGCAAAAGAGTCACTGGTTTGAATTCCGGCTGCGTCAGTTGGCATTTCTGAGAGAAGTTTGCATGTTCTTGCCGTGTTGCCGTGGGTTTCCTCAGAGTGCTCCGGTTTCCCCCACAGTCTAAAAGCATGCAATACAGGTGAATAGAATAAACTAAATTGCCCATAGTGTATGTGTGATTAAGTGTATGGATGTTTCCCAGTACTGGGTTGCAGCTGGAAAAGCATCCACTGTGTAAAACATATGCTGGACAAGTTGGCGTTTTTTTCCGCTGTGGCGACCCCAGATTAATAAAGGGACTAAGTTGAAGCAAAATGAATGAATATTACAATAATATAAAAATTATAACAATAATATAATCTTATAATACTATAAATGTGTGTTTTTATAAAGGCTTATTCATGTGCTACAGGTCCTTATTTAGTAAATACTGGTTAATCTTTGGATATTAAAACCAGTTTAATAGATACTAGTTATTTATAGCTACTACAACTTATTTGTTAGATGCCATCTTTTGTAATTGTTACTATAAACAATAGCTCGATCATCACGCCTGCTTTTTTACTTCTTATGTCTTCTTTTGAATGTTTAAATATTTTATGCATAATAAACCTGCCCCTTTATTCATCCACTAAAATCATTATTTGATGTAGCAGTGATACTAATAGTTTTTGTAATGCTACTTTTTTATTTACTTAATTACAAGTAAATGTTTTAAAAATCAGAAGATGTGATATTGTTTAATACAGCAATCTCTAACAGCAATGTATATTACTGTTGTTTTTTTTAACCATAAACAGTCCATTACATGTTAAAAAGAGGCTGTTGGTGATGACAAAATAGAATATATATATATTTTTCTTTGTATATGTCAAAATGTGGCATTACAGAAACCAAACCAGAAACCTCAAAAAAATTCCTCAAAATTATGAATTTACACAGACTATTTAATGCAGCATATCGTCTTTACACTCAATTCTGAGCAGACACAGACACGCTTTAGACCACTCTTAAATCATCTGTGTAAAGATGACTTATAGATGCAATCCAAAAGCATTACCATAAGTGTGTCTGTTAAAAGATTGTTACTCACTGTAAATTTTGTCACATAATTTGTAATCAGTAACTTTATACAATTCATAAGTAACATGCAGTGGTGGACAGAAACCAGGTTTATTTTACTTCATTACTGTACTGAAGTACATATTTTAATTCATTCATTTTCTTTTCGGCTTGGTCCCTTTATTAATTAGGGGTCACCACAGCGGAATGAACCACCAACTTTTCCAGCATATGTTTTATACAGTGGATGCCCTTCCAGCTGCAAGCCATCACTGGGAAACACCCATAAACTCTCATTCACACTCATACACTACGAACAATTTAGCCTACCCAATTCACCTGTAGTGCATGTCTTTGGACTTGTGGGGGAAAGAGGAGCACCTGAAGAAAACCCATGCAAACACGGGGAGAACATGCAAACTCCACACAGAAATGCCAACTGACCCAGCTGAGGCTCGAACCAGCGACTTTCTTGCTGTGAGGCAACAGCAAGCCACCACTGGCCACCAGCACATTTCAAAATATTGTACTTTTTTCTCCACATCCATCTACCTAAATTGAAGTAAAAAGTTATTTTAATAGTGGCATTTGCACTGAATAAATCATTTGTTAGCTAATTGAACTGATTTCTGTAACCAAGTTAACGGTTTCCAGCAAACGATTCACCGATTCAAATGATCTGTTCAGAGTCGGTCTCCAGTAAATGATTCACTTGATTTTACAAACAGGGTTCAGCTTGGGAATGTGGTTTTAAAAGTTTTCACTTGAATCATCATGAATTATCAGTGTGGTTCTCAGAGTGTGACGTCAAACTTCCTGCAAAATAAACATGAAGGGCTTTTACTTTTATTTTTAAGTAAATTAAAAATCAAATACTCTTGTACTTTGACTCAAGTAATGTTAAAAATGAGGATGCTGTGTTTATACTGGAGTACGATCTTAACGTATCTGTTACTTTTACTCATGTGCCTAATTTGTGTTCTTCGTCCATCAAACACAGATGTTCAGATCAATGGGGACAAAAGATTACTAGTTAGATTTGCTACTAGTCACTAATGAAATATGCACTAGTATTTAAAGACCAATAGGCCTATATTAATATAAAAAATAAGGTATCTACTAGTATTTAATGAATAAGAATTAGTGTGTATTTAGGAAGGCTATTAGTAATAAATGAACAAAATCTAATAGATATCTACAAGTTAAACAGACACTATAGCATCTAAACAAAATAAGACAGTGCTTATAGAAAATCATCATACCGCTTTGAAATAATTGATTTATTTGTCATGCAGCCTGAACTCAATTATATTTTGAGCCTTTGAAATGTTTTGTAACCTTCTCCTAACCTGTGCCTTTCTACAATTTTATCCAGAAGGTATTTTGAAAGCAAGGTGTTATGTGAGTAAAGGTATAGATTTTGCCCACGCTGTAAAACCCAAAAGGCTAAGGTAACTTAAAGCATTTGAGGAACAGATAGCAACAAATCATTTAAGTTAAAAAACTAATCCTAATGAGTACTGTGAACTTACTCCATTTGAGTAAATGAAGCAATTTAAGCACAGTAAAACCAAGAGAAATCAAACCAACTGAGTATTGTAAAACCCAACAAGTTAAGGCAACTCAAACCGTTTGAGGAAACCGATTGTGTAAAAAAGTAAAAAAAAAATAATAACATTTTTGATTTGAGTAAATAAAATTTGAGTAAAAAAACTAATCTATATGAGTACTGTGAACTTACTCCATTTAAGTTGAAGTAATGAGGTATTTGAATAACTTAGGCTATAACTTCAACAATGAGTTCAAAACTCTTTTCAAATGAGTAGAAATAACTTTCAGTACATTTTGAGTTAACTACCCTCATTTAATTTAATAAAGTTTACTGTTGGGTTTTACAGTGCACGGTATGATGATTTTCTATAGACTGTAGGTGCATAAAAATAAATACATTTGTATAGAATAAATGTTAAAATGGCTTGCCATAGTAAGAGCTTTTTATATCGTGTTGTGGAACAATCGCGCCACCTTTTGTTAGCAGAAAAGACAGGTTCGTATTTTATTAAATTTAATAATAATAATAATAATAATAATAATAATAATAATAATAATAATAATAATAATAAATTTTGTGTGTATGAACCCACTCTTCAATCGTAAACCACTTAGCAGCACCACAAGTTTGCAGTGTTTCCACAACTAAAGGGATTTGAAATGCAGTAACACCCGACGCCACGTGACTGGATTTGACGTTTGCAATCATGGCGGCTTCTGAAGCAGTTGTAGAAACATCATTCATGGATCCTTTCAAAGATGTTCTGGTTAATTATTTAATGCCAGAAAAATGCTACGACGAGTTCTTTTTACAGTTCAATCTTCTGCACGGTGGGTTCACAACTGATTAACTTAGTTTCGTATTTGTCTCATAGAGAAATGTAAGGGGTTTCCTTAGGTACTTGCAACAGTTCAATGACAAACGGGATTTCTCTTCTCCAAAATATCAGCACATCTTTTATTTATTCATTTATTTATTTTGGTAATAACGGCATTATCCGATTTGGGACCACTTTAAGAGAGGCATTGAACATTAACTGAAAACATTCCACGCAAGGAAATGTGGCTAATAAACTGTTCTCTGAGCTGTAATTGTGTGCTATTGTATTCAATTTATACTTTAATAAGCCTCGTCAGATGCATTACCTTGCGCTGTTGGAACGGGCGGAAGCTCATACATGTCCGTTTCTTACTGGATACTTCTAGCATATATTCGGCAATCATCGGACATTTCCGTAAAAGCTGACACAACTTCCAACTCTTATGGTTTTGATTTCCTGCTATTAATTAGTTAAATGTTAAGTTAAAGTAAACGTCATTTACATTGTTACATGATTATATTAATTGAGGTAAAGTCGGTTTTTATATTCACGCATTGAGACTTTCTACTTTAAAAATATTAGCAGCCGATGACTATCAAAGTACAACATTGTTCACAGTCAAGTAAAGTGCTAATGCAGCGTATTTATTGAGTTAATGTATGTATATTTACATGTGGTTTCAGATCGAATATTCAAAGTACCATGGTAAACAATACAGGAACATGTCACATGTTGTCACTGAATGAATGTGCAAATATAAAACCAACTTTACCTCAATCATTATATTATACATGTAACATTCATTTAATCATTTTCTTTTTGGCTTAGTCTTTTTATTAATCTGGAGTTGCCACAGCGGAATGAACCGCCCATTTATCCAGCACTTGTTTTATGAAGCGGATGCCCTTCCAGCCACAACCCAACACTGGGAAACACCCAAACACACTCTTGCACGTACACTCAGGACAATTTAGCTTACCCAATTCACCTATAGCACATGTCGTTGGACTGTGGGGGAAACCGGAGCACCCGGAAGAAACCCACGCGAACACGGGGGGAACATACAAACTCCACATAGAAACGCTAAATGACCCAGCCGAGGCTCAAACCTGCAACCTTCTTGCTGTGAAGCGATTGTGCTACCCTAAATGTATCATGTTATATAATAAATAATAATGTAACGTAGTTGCTGTGTTGTTTGTATTAGAAACATGGTCAGCTGTGTCTAACGGCATACAAATCATTGAAAAGTGTAATTTAGCTTCTTTTTTGTGTCCTTTACAGTGGATTGTCTGAAGATTGTAATCAGCAAAGGCCTGGGCATTGGGATCATCCTTGGTTCTGTATTAGGTAAGGAAATGTCTCCCATATCTTTACATTACTCACGCAAACAATGAATATCCTCTAACATTGATGTTTTTGTGCTCGTTTCTTTATAGTGAAGCTACCTCAGATTCTGAAGCTGCTTGGTGCTAAAAGTGCAGAGGGACTGAGCTTTAACTCTGTGCTGCTGGAGCTGTTTGCCATCACAGGCACCATGGCCTACAGTTTAGCCAACAGCTTCCCCTTCAGGTACATCTATGATGACGCTTTCATAGGCAAAATGATGCTTAACACTTTGGTAAACATTTGTACACGTCCACACACTGCATTTATAAATACCAAACAAAACTGCTTACTGGAAATTTCAAAAAGTATACAGTAATAATACGACCGGGATTATTTCTGACAGTTCCTGGGGTGAGGCACTTTTCCTCATGTTTCAGACTGTGACCATTGGTTTCCTCATACAGCACTATGGAGGAAAAACTATTAAAGGTAAATAAAAGATCATCTCATTACAATTTTACAGCTGTGTTCACACTGACTTGCTTCTCAGTTCATCATATGGTCTATCAAAATGGGAAAGAAAATGAAATGTTTAGTCCTGATTTGCTCTGTGCTCACACTGTCATTTTATAACTACATTTCCATTTAGTCATTTATTAAATGCTTTTGTACATCGTGACTTACAATTAAGGAGGCATTCAGCGATTCAACAAGAGGCAACACATGGAAGTAGTGCTAATTATGCAAAGGAGTCATTTACGCTCAGATAATTAATTGCTAGAGTTAGGAGGGAGTGTGTTATGTATCTTTTAAGAGAGAAGAGGGTTTCTACAGGTGGTTTGTCGAGCCCACTCACCTGTGTGAAGCTAACTTTATAAATGCACAATGTGTTTTTATAAGATGTTGACTGTAAGAGTGTCTGGTCTGCAGGATTAGTGCAGGAATCAGTTTAAATGACAGAGAGATGAGTGTTTTCTACAGGTGGTTTGTCAACCCCACTCTGTATGAGGCACACTCAGAATTGCATATTGTTTTGAGGTTGTTTTGTGGTGATCTGAACCTAAAGATGTTAAATTTAAACCTAAAGCTATGAATATTTTAGATCAGAACTTGGACATCCAAAACAGCGTGCTGGGCTAAATGTATTTATTTTGTCTGTGTGTGGACATGTGATAGAACTACATGTATGAAATGTGTAAATAATTCAAACAGTTTTTTAGTCCCAGATAAAGATCTGCTGTGAGGAGATGTTTCTGATGCCTATACTGTATTTTAATGGGCAACTTGTGCCAAGAATATTTTTTTTACTTTTATGGTTGCGTTTTATGATTTATTTTATAACAATTTGCACATATTGAGTTCATTGTAATCTAACCAAACACGAGATATGAAAACACCCTAAACTTAATTTATTTTAACGCTTTACTTTCTGGTTGCACTGTGATTTTTTGCAGGTTTGGGCTTTCTAGTGGTTTATTTTGGTCTGTTGGCAGTCCTTCTCTCTCCTGTGACTCCCTTGTCGGTTGTCACTACCATGCAAGCCTCTAATATGCCAGCCATCATCTTTGGACGGGTAAGGTGGACTAAATAAACAAACATGTCAAAGCAACGAATACAGTAGACATGTATTTATGCCATTTTTTAAAATAATTGTTTCCCTGTGTCTTCAGTTAATTCAGGCCGGTACCAACTACAGAAATGGTCACACTGGGCAGCTATCGGCTATTTCAGTGTTTCTGCTGTTTGCAGGCTCTCTGGCACGCATATTCACTACAGTGCAGGTAAAACCCCGACAATTAGCCATAATTACACATTATTATGGAAAAGAGTTGCTTTTGTTACTCTGTACACATTTTTCCAGTCACTTTTGATAAAATGAATGCATCCTTTCTGAATTATTATTATTTTAAACTCACTAAACTAATACCCTTAACACCAGAAGCACCATTGGGCAATCTTTACCTTAAATATACATTACATTTCAATAAAATATGAAAAGTACTTGAATTATACTAAACCTGTGATATTTACAACCTCCTGTTAAAATGGTTTAGATTAAATAATATGAAATGTATGACCATAACTGCCAACAGGTCAGATTAACCTACAGTCTTGTGAAAAGGTGAGGACATCCTAAGAATTTCCGAATCAGGACATGAAAATGATCTGATATTTAGCAGGTCTTACAATTTGGATAACGAAACCTCAGATGAACAACAAGATCTAGCATAAACAACAATAAACCAGGCACTGCTAATCAAATGCCTTAAACAATCATGTTGTTGGTGCATTTTAAAACATTGCCTGTGCAATAGCTAAAGCTTGGCCTCAATTGTGTCATGCAACAACTCTCACAAAAAAGGCACGACAGCTTAGTAGATCAGAAAACAACAACAAAACAAAATCAATGTTGCAATAGTCCAGTCAAAGTCCAAACCTCGTCCTGACTGAAATGCTTTGACAAGAGCTGTGCAAAAAAAAAACTCCTCCAGAATGATCCGACTGATAAGGTCATACACAAATGTTTACTTTAAGTAATTGATGCTAAATGTGCATCTACAGGCATCATAGGATGTCCTAGGTTTGTCAACTATGGCTTGTATATCTTGGCTTTTGTGTTGTTAAATAAATAATAACAGTATATGTGAGGCTGTTTATTTTTTATATATGTTTTATCGTCCACATTTTAAGATCTCAAAAAAAACATATAATAGGACCGTAATAGTTTGGTTTTTTATCATGATGTCCTGACACAGAAAACCGTGAACTTTAATAGTGTGTCCTAACATTTTCACGACTGTATATAATAGTTTCATTTTCACATGGCTTATGTTTTGGTGTTCTATGATGACAACGACTTTCAGCCACTGAGATCAGGTTATCAGTTTTAGCACAATTGTTAACAGAAGGTGATTTTTATTGATGCCAAACTAGTATTGGAAGCACTAAATGCTATGAGTGATGTTGAGTCGAATGGTATGAGTGTCTGCTGCATCCTGGCTATCAGAGTTGATATTTAAATAAATAATCTTTTGATGACTTGAGTTTAGAGGTTGCGAAAACATTCATTTTTAGCCAATTCAAAGAAGTATGTGCATGGATCAGGACGGTTAAATGATTCATGGCATACAAGATAATAGTGTACATAATTTTGTGTACTGTATATACACAAACACTCTACCGGTCAAAAGTTTGGGGTCAGTTTTAATTATTCATTTATTAAAAGTAAAAGAAAATGTTACATTTTTAAATACTTATTTATTAAATTTTTTTTATTACTTATTGTATGTAGTTTCAAATAAAGTTATTACTCCAGTCATTATTGCTTTTAATTACTATTACCATTATTAATAATAATAATAACAACAATAATAAATCATATTAGAGTGATTACTAAAGGATCATGTGACTCGGAAGACTGGAGTAATGATGCTGAAAATTCATCTTTAAAATCACTGTAATAAATTATCAAATTAAATTCTAAACTACTTGTGAACAGTTATTTTATAGTGCAATAACATTTCACTATTTGTAGTGTATTTTTGATTAAATAAATGCAGCCTTGTAATGCAGGAGAAGATTTTTTTAAAACATTTAAAAATCCTACTGACCCCAAACTTTTGACTGGTAGTATATGTATGTAACTGTTCCTATACTGCTGTATATACAAAACATTGTGAACGTAAATATTGTTTAAGATTCCATCATGAATAAATAGTGTTTGGTTTATTTAGGTATACCTATTATATAGTATAAATTATTTCTTACCTTAACTGCAACTTTCTTATCTTGACTTTGATATTTACATGATATTATTGTGTCTGTGTGTGTGCAGGAAACCGGAGATTCCCTCATGGCCGTCACCTACATAATCTCCTCCTGTTGTAATGGTGTGATCGCCGCGCAGGTCCTCTATTACTGGAACAGCAGCCCTGCGCTCAAGAAGAAGAAGAAGACTCAGTAGATCAGAGCGAAAGGCAAACTCGCTGACCGCTCAAGCCAACACACTGCACAGAACAGGGATCAGTTCAGTGTTCTAATAAAAAAAAACGGTTCTTATGAAATTGAGCTCTGCCCTGAAAACACATGCATTTGTTAACCTATCAGTGCATGAAAGGCAGGTACAAATACTGTAAAAGTGTACACATTTATGTATTCCAGGTGCCCTAAAATGGACCAGAAAGCCAGTATCGTGAGGTACTGTAGGTATACAGGCTTTTCTTCCCCCTTTTAATTCCATTTATTGTAGTGGGTTGTTTAATTAGACGTGTTTTGAAGCTCAGGGAGTGGTGTTCATAATATTCCTGCTTTGGTTTTTTCAATTTTCATTCAGTTAAATTGCAATTTCTATTAAAACCAACTTATCCATTCTGAATTAAACCAATCTGTGAGGAAAAAACAAACAAACATCCAGGCTGGGTTTTGTAGACCAAATTGTACCAAACGATGTTTTAGTCCATGCTCTCGCACGTATGAAAATATGTGTTGTTATTATATGCTGAAGGCAGTCCTACTGGAACATCAAAAAGGCTCTTGTTCTAATTGTGTAGACATTCAACCATATGGACACTATTCACGTCTTCCAGCACATATAACTGCTCATGTTGCTTTGGACTGTATACAACACATTTCATTGTGTTTTTGACATATTAAAGATTTCCCTTTAGGTTATCTAAAGAGTTAATTACTGTTTCTTGTCAATCTTGCAGTTGTACATGTAGCCATGCTGTTAAGTATCACCATGACTAATGGGAATTGGTTAAATTATGAAATTTACTACGCTACAAGGCACTTTTTCCGGTTTGTTCTAGATTTTACTATTCACCCATCAATTACAAGTTGTCTCATGCTGTCTGAAGTTGAAGGAAAAAGTTTGGTTTGAATGATGGAAATTGCATATTTGCACACAGTATGTTTGTGAATTTATTTCCAGTTTGCTCATGTATTGGTCTTTGTTGGTGTATTTCAGGAATGAAACATAATTGACTGTGATTATCGTTTTTCCATATCTGAGTTTTAGTTTGTTTTTTTTTTTTTGTTTTTTTTGTTTTTTTGACCATTGAGCAAAACTTTCCATCAGATAATTGGTAGTGTTCTTTGTTTGCAAAGTATTTCCTCTGGTTTGAAAGGCTTTGGGGAAATAACAAACTGTTTAAACCCTTTAAATAAACGGTTTTATTCTTTATATGATTTGTTTGCATTTATTTGGATGTGATTAAACTTTACCCAGCAGTCAAGTGGATATTACACACTGTAAAACCCAAAAAGTGAAGGTAACTAAAACCATTTGAGAAAGCTGATTGCTACAAATTTAAGTTCAAAAACTAATCCTGATGAGTACTGTCAACTTAATCTATTTGGGTAAACGAAGCAATTTGAGTACAGTAAAACCCAGTAAATGAAGAGAACTCTAAACAACTGATTACTGTAAAACACAATAAGTTAAGGCAACTCAAATCATTTGAGGAAACCGATTGCTACAAACCATTTAATTTTAAAAAATGAACCTATATGAGTACTGTGAACTTAATCCATTTAAGTTAAAGTAATGAGGCATTTAATTAACTCATTACTTTCAACACAGAGTTTAAAACTCTTTTCAAGTGAGTAGAATTAACTTTCAGTACATTTTGAGTTAACTACACTCTTTTCATTTGATAAAGTTGACTGTTGGGTTTTACAGTGTATTTAATTGTTTTGACATTTAAATACCACACAAATATTAGCTCAGTTCTGTTTTCATAGTAAAGGGACAACAATTATGAATAAAAATATAAATGAATAGAACATTATTATGCAATAATTAATGCTAAGTTATCCAAAATGGCATTGGAAATGAGATGGCTTGTACTAATGAACTGCGATACATTTTTGCACCACTAGAGAGAGACAAAGAGTCTTTCCTATTCTGGTTGCTCCATTGGTACGCTTTACCACACTAGCTGTGTACTTGAGTCGGGCAATTAGTCTTCATCTGTCATCACTTTTTAAAGAAACCTACAGTTTACAGCATAAAAGCATTAAGGTATAGAAAGGCATACCTGCAGTACTGGTTCTGCCTCTAATTCTGTGGCGATTTCATTTAGTGGATTTCTAGTAAAACTAATGTTTTAACTCACTACAATGAACACCTTTTCAACTTGATGAATCCTGTCTGTTTACAATTGGTTTAATCATGCTTTTTAAACAAATGTTGAATGATATATCTAGACCAGGGGTGCCCAAACTCCTGCAAAGTTTAGTTCCAACCCCAATCAGACAATGGTGAGATGTGTTGTAGCAATAATCTGCAGGACACCGATCCTCCAGGACCGAGTTTGGACATCCCTAATCTAGACCGATGCTCTACTTTATTTGTAGATGGTCTTTCAAACCACTAATCTGTCATTTTTTAAGTTGCCTTACAAGATAGGTTCACCAAAAAGCGAAAATTATTTTATTAACTACTAACCCTCATAACATTTCAATCCTCTAAAGCCTTTTTTGTTTTAGGAACACAAATTAAGATGCTTTAGATTAAATTTGAGACTCATTCTCCATAGACCACAAGCTCGAGACATTAAAATCCTTAAAAGAAACAAAAATACATTGTCAAACAGTCAGTGTGACTATAATGGTTCAGCTGTAATCGTATGAAGCTCCAAGAACAATTTTGTGCACAAAAAAACACTAAGCATTATGTAAGACAGGTAACTATTAGTTTTAGCTTACAGTTTACTAGCCATTAGACAACGTATTGCATTAGAACCAGGGCTTAATTTGTGCCTAAACACGCCAGATCCAGCACCTCTGAAATCTGATCCGGCACCTCATTTTACCAAACCCCCTTCTCAACCGCCCTCCTCCCCATCCGCTGTTCACTTTCACTTTCTTCCACGACTCCCCAACCCTCTTCACTTTTGTCCGCGTTTGGAGCTTAACTTGATTAGTTTAACCACTGAAGTCACATGAAATGTTTTGACAAGTTTTAGGTTCCTTTTCTGAGCTTCTTTTTAATCTTTTGACCCAGAAGCACAAGAGAGCTCCAGGGTTTCATCTAAAATACCTTAAATTGTGTTCTGATGATCAACGGATATTTTTAGGAGATTAAAACGACATGAGACTGAGTGATTCATAAGAGAATTTTCATTTTTGATGAACTCATCATTTAACTTTAAAGTTCCGCACTCCTCTATTACCTGTTTAGTTTCAATGTGACTTCTAACATGGCAATTATTTCTCACTATAAGTGGCACCACTGAGTCTCCTTGTAGGTCCAGATGGGTTGGTTAGTCTAGATTTATAGAGCACAGGCAGACATAAACAGAGAAGAGCACTGGTTGAACAAGAGTCCTGATGCTCTCAGACGGGACGGGTGAATGCAAATGCGCAAAGATAAGCGATGGCATCTAATGGGAGTTTTTATCTAAATATATCAAGTTAAAGCAGCAAGAGCTGATGAAATATGTCTCTGATTTAATCACAAATTTTTGATTTCATTGTGTTCAGAATATTTTTAATAAGTTTAAATGCTAAATTCTTCACAAATACACCTACTTTTTGATGACATTTTGGATGATTTGGCCATAATTAAATCCATTAAAATATTTAATTAATATTATTTCCTTGTTCATAGTTTTTTGTACCTTTACTATGCAAGTAGAATTGAGCTCAAACTTATGTCTCAAGTGTCAAAACAATTAAATATAATATTCGGTTGTAAATAAATTAGTGATGGGCAAAAGGTAATTGCATCCATAATAAAAGTTTTTTTTTTTGGCATAAGATATGTGTGTTATATACACACTGTAAAAAAATTATATGATCAATTATTCCTCACATGCTGTGTTTTACATTCATTGCAACAAATTAAACAAAGTTAATCATGTTCTAACTCAATTTTATAAGTTACACAAGCTGTTTTAAGTCAGTTTAACATAAGTTCAATGGACTCATAAGGTTAATTTGATTCAGCCTAAAATTTTAAGGCAACTAGGATTTTTTACAGTGTGTTTACTATATACTATGTGTGAGTTCCACACAATGAATTTGTGTTGGGAAAACATGAGTAAATTAAGTTAACTTTTATCTTAAACTTAGTTTTTGTTTTGCTGATTTAAATAGATTAGAGATGAAACAATTAATTTGTCACCCCAAAGAACTCAAAAATCTTGTTGTTCCTTTTTAAATAAGTAGTTTGATCAAACAACAATCAAATTTTATTTAGAGTGTATATGTTTTTTACATACATTATTTTTTCCCCAGCACTAAAATAAATTTTTAAAACATTAAAAAAAACCAAAGAATCTTCAAATCCTTCAAAATGCTTATTCTCTATAAAAGGTTGCAGCATCTATTAATACAATTTAGTTTTAGTTAAAATAGTTTACATCTTCCCTTAAAGTCAGCCTGTGAATCGAACACGTTATTCTTTAATTAGTTCCATATTTACAGCATTAAAATGAAAGCATTCTTCACAGCTCACAATAAACACAGCTGCCCAAAAAGACATTATATATTTTCCTTTTTATATGGATTGCTCAATTAGTTCACATTCAATGGTTGTCTTCATTATGTAGGCTTGCTATTGTTATTTTATTGTTTTTGCTATGTAGGATGCATATTTTATTCAAATTTGCAGAGTCATTCAGTGTGCTTTCATGTAGGTGTTAATCTTGTAGATTCTACGAAAAGCACAAAGCATCCGACTTGATGGTTCTTCATCTCCACCCCCAAATACAACCGGCTATTCTTGTCAATCGGCTCGGGAGTTCATGTCAAACACTCCTGTCAGTGCTTATGACAGACTGTTTTAATCGAATACATTTAATTATTAGAAAATTTAATTTTCTGACAATTACGTATGAGAAAATCTAAGTATAGTAAATCTCAACTAAACAAACTCTAAAAACCAATAGTTCAATTTTTAAAAGACTTTTTTTAGCAATAAATGTCTATGATTTATCAAAGTCATCTATGAAATTAATAGAATGATATAAGGAATTGTTTATTATCAGTTTATTAGACTGATTCCCAAAGGATTGTGTAACATTGAAGATTTGATTAATTATGTACTAATCACACTAAACTTTTTAAAAGGAAAATTTATTCTCATAATTTATTCATTCATTCATTTTCTTTTCAGCTGAGTCCCTTATTAATCTGGTTGTCGCCACAGCAGAATGAACCGCCAACTTATTTTAGCATGTGTTCACAATTTTAATGTTAATCAATTAAAAGTAAAATAACAATGAATTGAATAGGTGTGAGTGGGGCACTGATGGACACAGAGTAACACACATGGATCAAATATTTCCAGACATGCTAGAAATAACAAAACTCGAGAAACATTTCAAATAGGTTTTTAAATAATTTTGAAGACCCCTATCATTGAACTTTGAAATCATTTTTCATCTCAATTTTTGCTGTTTATTTAAAAAAGAGATACATCTGCTGCTATTTTAATCTCCAGTTGGCTATTTAGAGAAGTTTATTCATAAACTAACTTTGAGAAGATCACGTGTTTATGATTGATCACGGCTGGTCCCGCTTTAGCTGATTCACTAATCCACAGTTTCCTACCTCATTTATATTCATTATGAAAAATTCCCCCTACCCCCTTACTCCTTCTCCCTTTTTCCCAGATAGGGTGGCACGGCGGCCCTATGGTTAGCACTGTTGCCTCACAGCAAGAATATCACTGGTTCAAGGCCTTACCAGGCCAGTCGAAGTTTCTGTGCGGAGTTTAAATGTGCTCTCAATGCTCGCATGGGTTTCCCCAGGGTTCCCCATTTCCTCCCACAGTCCAAAGACATGGGACATAAGTTAATTGACCAAATCAAATTGGCACCATATATGAGCTCTTATTCAGAAGTATATCTCTCCATAGCAAGCCCTAATTCTTCATTAGCCATAAATAAACTTGTTAAGGTTTTGATGATTTGCTAACATGCAGTTGCTAAATATATATATATATATTTCAGCTGCAGATGGGAAACACTTTTATTAATAGAACATTTTTCTGAATGTGTTTTCTTCATCTGTTTGCCCACATTGTTTTAAACTATGGTTTGTACTGTGCTATTTGTACTGTGTTGATCATGGTTGCAATGCGTTCATTGTCAAAATTACTCTATATTTAACTTAAAATTTTGTATTAAATAATTGTTAATATTTTTCTAAATTGATTTTATTTTCTAAATT